TGATAGCAGGTCCTCGGTAAACATCTTCCTTCCCTGTCATGTCTTTAGTCAAGCTGTAAAATACCACACAAAAGAGAAGTATTTGTTGAAATTAATAATTTTAACTGTCAAATGTAGTAAAAACACAAGAAATCGTTTTTACACACTGGAAAATAACACTGCATTACTACAACAACACTCTGCTCTGAAGATAAGACACTTTCTGGGAGACATATTTGTCTTTTCACAACGATGACAGACACAAAGGCTTTAAACGTCATGGTACAAACCTGCTAGTGACAATAATGACATCCTCGGAGATGTTGGCCATTTCTTTGATGGTCAGGTAACACATCCTCCTCAGGGTTTGCTGAGGGTAAAATAAAGAGTTTAAGCCTAGAGCATCTGTATTGTATTACTCCATACGGACCGATGCCATGCAGCTTGGGGCTAAACCATAGTCTAAATCTAAAACGAATGAATATTAACTTACGTCATTGGACTGAAAGAGCCTGGTCATCGCGAAGAAGGCCTCTGTGGCCTCTGTGGTCCCAAAATGCTCTCCCTTTATAAACAGACCCATGTGAGTGATTGGGGAGAGGAGGGGGGGGGGGGCTTAACATTGGTAGACAGATATAAAGACGTCCAATTAACAACATTTTACCTGGTTGAGGAGGTAGATGATCTTGGTGAGAATGTGGAGGCATCGTCTCGGATTGATGGGGGTCTCGTTGAAGATACGCGCCTGTGAACGAGGAGGGACACGTTATTTCTCGGCAGTGGGAAGGCTGTCGTTTCTTTGGCTTATACTTGTGCAGCGCAGGTCCAAAGCCATATTGCAAGGGAGTGATGTACCTCCTGCAGCACGGCACTCTTCTCCAGATGCTGGAAAGGGTTCGACCCACTTCCTAAAAATGCAACAACAAAAAAAAACAGTAACGGAGTGAGACGTCGGAGCAGTTAAACCCTTGTCGTCTAACTCTATTCAAAGTCGACACACGGGAAATATTTTGATACCAGCTTAAGCTACGTGTATCAACTAAGTGGGTAAAACGTATGTTCACGTTAGCAAAACTAACATCACAAACATCCAGCTGACACTGCCTAGCTTGCAATGCTAACGCTAGGCTTCGCTTACGTAAGGTGTTAGTGTTATCGTAGCGTGAAATACAACCGTTTAACAATTATAATATGAATGCAAAGCAGGTTGTATTAGAGAAGCATAACGAGTCATATGAAAAAAATAATCTGTAAGCAACGGTTAACGAACAAGTATTAACGTGACTTCAGCTAGTCAGCTAGCTGTGACAGGCTAGCCCCGCGTTAGCTTCCACGGCGTCCAATAGTTTGTCAGTCCAGACATTCTTTACAATTTTTGAAAACTCTCAATTATTAAAAGAAAAGCGGCCCAATCTTACCAGACTCTTCGTCCTTCTTATCGAATTTCTTAATCATTATGTCGGTATGGAGCTGACCGATGAGGGCGACGGACGGTCTCAGCCTTGATCATAAGAGAAGCTACTTCCACGTAGCCAAAATGAGAACTCAGTTCCGGTTGATGTGTCCACGTCACCGGAACATACGTCAAACCCCTTCCGGGCCACGTCCAGCAGGGGTCGCTGCTGACAACAAAACAACCCTTCGACCAAAACAATAGATCGCCTTAAAAAACTCAACCTTGTGTGGATTGTGCAGGGTCTAATGGCCCCATCTGCTGGACCACGACAGCTGTTTTGCTGCTGTAAGAGCGCCGTCCGAGCCACGGAGGACATGGAGAAAGCTGCTGGAGGCCAGGCTGTCGGTCGCTCAGGCCCCCACACAGCCTCCAGGTTGAGGTTGAGGTGGCCGTGGTTGTGCGCTGAGATAATGACAATAAGCTGGATGGACTGCGTCGGAAGAGAAGTGAAGGATTCTGTCAAAGAGGAGCAGTTTCCTCTGAGACACAATCACTTGTTGGTGTTGTGTTTGTACTGAAGAGTGACTCACAAAAGATAACCATACCAATGGGGTTCAATACAAGATTCATTTAAAATGGCATTGTCATCGTGTCCACATTTGTTTGCATTTTGTGTACTTTTTGTTTCACAGATGGCAAATTATTTTAGAAATCCATTAAACAAAATCCTTATTATTCCATTTGCAAACCTTTGAAAAGTGAAAGTCAATGGACATCAACAAGCCTTTAATTCACATAATTTATGAGAACCCCACCATGTTTTTCACCCCAAACTACAACAGAGAAGTTGGATTTTTAGGCCTCTCTCTTTCTCATTCATCCGATAGAAATGATTCAAATTAACATATTATCTCCTCCAGATATGTGTTCATGATCATCTCCTGCTCGTCGGCGGAGAAAGAATACGCCCTTCCTTTAAGTTTGTTTGCCGTTATACTGTTAAAAAATCCTGGTTTCGGCGATCGACTCTTCCGCCTTCCGACGTAAAACGATTATCCTGATGATTGACATCTGGTTCAAACTAACGAGACGGTTCGAGGGCCGATCCGCCGTCGAGGAACCGGGATAGCCTGATGTCAATCGTTTCGGTCATTTGAGCTGGATAATCGGACATTTGATCGACTTGGTTGAACCACGTACGAGGAACAGGTCCCGTACGCACTGAAGCATCAGGCCGATTTCTTGCATCTGCAATACGCTCAAACAAAGTGAAAAACGTATCAGGATCCTTCTCATTGAATTTGGGCATTAAACGCAAATTAGCGCCAACATCGAACACAACCCGCACAGACTCAGAACAGACACTGAAAGTTTACTGTCACAAATAAACTCAATTTATACTGCTGCAAGTCTGTCAGGGGGTGAGGGTGGAGGCAGGACTCAAGACGCAGAGTTCAAAACAAAAGGGACTTTAATAGTCAAAGGTCAAAAATCAAAAGGCCAAGGGGCAAAAACACACAGGCATGCAACTCAAGAGACACGGACATGCGTGGCGAAAGACAATGACGCGACAAGTGACACAGGAGACACATGGCTTAAATACACAAGGGAGGTGCAGGTGATTGGACACAGGTGGAAACTATTAGACGATCACAGGGGATGACGGGACAAGGCAGGAAGTGAAGTTACCCGGGGACACGAGTGGCAGAAAACTACAAAATACAACAGGAAGTGAAACCACACCGTGACAAAGTCTAGTTTCATTTTTTCCGCCGAATCTTTTCTATCTGAATTTGCTCCTTCTGCTGCTCAAAAAGTCAGCCCCGACGTGGGTGCAGACACAGATGTTTCCACAGCTGCCACGTCCGACAAACACTCCTCCGACCTCAAAACGCCACTCTCCACTAAAGCGGATGTGGGGGAGGATAGGGTGTAAAAGGGTAATTAAACCAAATTAAGAAACCAACAATGCCGCCCGGGGAAATTCACCCCGAGAAATAATCTGGGAAGCACAAGGCACACAGGTAAATTTACTCGGTGAGGCAAGAGACGCAGTTCACTGAGTGCAATTTCATTCATCCCCCAATCAATAGAAAATCAATTAGAGGGCTGGAGCTGAGTGGACAAGGCAAGGTGTAAAGGAGGGTCAACAACGAAACCTGGCAGCAGTTGGAAGCAGAACACAAACAAAACACAAACAAAAGCTGAAGATAAATATATTATTTATATATATATATATATGTATATATATATATAATGTGTATATAATGTGTATATGTAATTGTATTTTCCATTCTGTTGTCTCTGAGTCCACTCTATGACAATGGAATGAAATTTTCAGGGCCAAGTTCCATACAAATTAGATTCATCTGTTCATTGCGATTCTGACCACAGAACTGAACACCTGCAGATTTTTTTGGTGAGAGAATTAATCACCGACGTTTGTCCTTACCAAGACTTAAGTAGCCTTTCGATGGATATATCACCATTCTTCAAAGACCACATCGAGTCGTTAACCGGCAAACAAACAAACAGCCTTTATTAAGGCTCCCAGCCTACTTACAGGCATCCCACCAGCCTTTTTAAAGATACCATCATTCTTTTTAAAGACTACACAAGTGTTATTTAACATGTACCGGGGAAACAACCAGAGAATTGGAGCTGGCGCTTCACTTCTCGGGACTCCTCCTACAGGATACACTGTGAACATGGCACTTTCTCGTGGCCAGAATGAAGTGCACTACCTGAAAAAGGAAGGTGAGCGAACTCACTGCTCACACTGAAACTGGGAAGTACAGTTTGACCAACCTGTTAAAAGGCAAAGATCTTGCCTATGAGCAGATGGTTGACAAGAACAGAAAGAAGTTTTCAGACTTCATCCGGGAGAACAAGGGTTTGTCTCTGAAGCAATGATGAGTACGCCGAACAACTCTTTGTCAAAAGTGCTGAACTTCACGGTCAACAACGAGACCTGGCAGCAGAAGTATAACGATCTGGAGGAAAAGACATTCAAAGAACTGGATCCCCAACAACAGTCCTTGAAGTCTGAAGTAACAGGGTTACTGTCGACCAACGTTTCTCTTCAAGAGGAGCTGCACAAGCAGCAGACCAACAACCACCAGTTGGAAGAAGAAGACAAACTGCTAAAGATCAAGACAGAGGCTCTGGATGAGACTATCAGGGAGAACAAGGGTTTATCTCTGAAGCTCACCGAGACCACAAAACAACTTTCTGTCAAAAGTGCGTAACTCAGGGTCGACAACGAGACCTGGAAGCAGTTGGAAGCAGAACACAAAGTGCTGAAGACCCAGAGGGATTCTCTGGCTGCTTTAAAAAAGAGCCAAGAGGATACCCACCACGAGATGGTCACAAGCAGTGGTTTCACTGTGTTGTGCCTGATCTCTAAGATCCAACAAACGGAGGATACCATCCCCAAGGAACATCAGATCCTTACATAAGGATCCAAGAATTAGAGGACGACAAAACACTCCTTGAAAACAACTGCCTCGACTTAAAAAAAAGAGGCATTTTTGGGAGACGGTTGCAAGACCGGCAGACGGAGATGGACGCAATGAGGCGCGAGATGCAGGACAAGGAGACAAAGAAATGTGACACATGACACATGTAGACATTAGTAATGTATCTATTAACTTAGACAGTAAATGTTGCACACAGATAGATCAACAGATTTGTATAGTCCTATACAAACAACAATGTTACAGAAATAAAGACATCTAAATAATTCAACTAATGAATATCAAACCATAAAACCAAATATAAAGAAAAAAATAAAAAGATAATATTTGAAATGTACAAAGTCACAAATGCAAGAAACCAATATATAAACTAATTACAACATGAATATTCCAAATAATTGGACTTAAAATGCTAGATGGAACTCCCCCTATTATTTCTCTTCTTTCCTCCTTTCAGCCTCCCATCTCTGTTTTTCTTTCTCAAAGAAAGCAGACCCCTGGAACTCTCTCCACATCATTTCCTCGTCCATGCCCTGGTCTTTGTATAGTGAAAAGGTTTTGAAAGAAAATGTACTTCCCTGTTACTCCAGGGAACCCAGTGTGACTGTGACGACTGTTTGGGCCCTGCTTCAGTTCCATCTTACAGAACCAACACTTGCGACCTGTGGACTGGCAATCAGTTATCTTCCTCTTCTGCTGTCCTTTCTCTGTCACCCTTTTCTGTGTGGCATCCAGTTCTAGCTGAAAGAACTTTGTCTTTTGTGTGTCCCTTCTTTTGCCCCGGTTGTTGTTGTTGTTGTTCCTGTTGATGTTGCTGCTGCTTTTCCATGACGTTGAGTACAATCTTCTCAATAGAGGCTTGAGTCAGCATCTAAACAGGTGGAGGTGGGTGAACGATTACAACAGACATCGTAACAACTGGCACACTAGCGGTCTCACTCGCCTCTGTCAGACAGTGACAGAGTTTCTGCCTCTCTTGCAGTTTTTCTGGACTGACGTTTAAAGAGGAACTGGTGTTCAACAATTTGCTGAGGAACTGTACAAGGCCTGATGCTCCGACACACACTCACGGAGGAACCGCCTCATGCAGTGAAACAAGTGAAGCTTGATATTAATGTTTGCATTAAAATGTGATCTTGTAGCACATGTGTTTCGGAGGTTACCAGAAGTGACATCGGCAACAATTGCATCTGTTGTTCTCCAAGAATCCCATTTCAGATGCTTTCCTGCAAACGACTCTGCCACCTTGAATGCAACACAGCAATCCCTGAAAGAAAAAATAAAAGGAAAGCCATCAATGTGACAGCAGTCATATAGACCACCATGTGTGCTCCAGTGTATATGGTCATCAAAATAAAATTGAATGCAAAGGGATTTTCTTTAATTAAACTGAAAAAAATAAAAAGTAATCTAAGTTGTGACTATGAGCTGTTTGTGTCAACAATGATGGTCAGAAATATTGATATAATTTACCTGTCTACCCACTGGTATTGTGCCTTTTCTATGCCTGCAGCACTGTAGCGCTGTGCCAGTCCCATGGGCTTCAGGGACTTAGCATCAAAATGAACTTTAATGAAAGAATAAAACTAGTCGTGATGCCAAATATATCATATATTATCCTAATCATTGAGGCATTAATGTGTTTACATTTGACTGACTTTCTGATCTATTACAAGATCCTCATTTATTAGTTGAGTAACGTCTGTGATATGCAAATAGTAATTAATGCAGTCAAACACACGTGAACACAACTATAAACTAACATGTGGCGTGACACTAACATAAATGCATTTATAGACATGACACTTGTACTAAAGTACAGTATTTATGGCTAACGACGTTAATAGTTTACTATTCTCTCAGTACGTGCATAATATGTATACAGAATTTAATGTAATATACAATATATTATTAGCATAATAAATATACAGGGTATAGTGTAACATATACTATATTGTTAGTATTTACAGCTAAAGACATTTATAGCTGGCTGTTCTCTAAGTACGTTTACAGTATATTACATTACATTACATTACAGGTCATTTAGCAGACGCTTTTATCCAAAGCGACTTACATTACACTTTTAAACCCATGGCTTTTTCACATTTTTGCCCGGGGAGCAATTAGGGGTTAGGTGTCTTGCTCAGGGACACTTCGACATGGAACATGGGGCAGCCTGGAATAATGTATATAATGTTTAAATAGTATAAGATGAATAGCTAATGAGAATATGTGTTAAATGACGTACAGCAGCAAACGCTGCATATTTATCTGAATAATTATTACACATTATAGGTCATTGACTTACTGCTTAGTGACTTCCTCACAGCGCGAGGTCCGACGAAGGTGCACCGTCGCTTCGGTGCTCTTTCCCGGGTAGACTGACGAGAATGTCCGGAGAAACGCTTTACATCCGGGTAAACGCTCGGTCCGCACAACAGCGCCACCGGTGGCCAAAGGTATATTACATCCGTGGTGGTTTAGCACTACCATAGAGAATGAATGGGTTTTGGTTTAGGGATTTTAGCTGAAGAATTCACGGGTGCCGCGCGGGAAGGAGGTGTGAAAAAGCACGCAAGGGACACGCAAGGTGGGTCTTGCGTCTGCGTCGCTCTGAAAACGCAGAAGCATAAACTAGGCTTAAAACAGTACATGTGTGTCTTTCGCTAGCATTGGTGACACATATAAAAAACATTACATTATTCTGTCACGCAAATTCAAAATAAAACTAATCACTGTATCAGTTTTTGGGGAATGCAATATCTGAAATCAAATACAGTTAAAAACATACAAACACTTACATATTCCGTATTTGATGTATCAGAAAATAATTTAGAAAAAATGACTTTCCCATTCAATGCCCTCTCTCTCTATATTGTGTATGTGTGCATTGTGTTGCATGTCAGTACCAACCGGGTAGACTACATTTTGGACTAAGCATGGCAGGTTGATTAAAAAAGTGTAAAAATATTAAATAAATAAAAAAACTTAAAAAAAACAACCACTGCTTATATGCTGCAATGCATGTTGGCTTTGATTCATTTAATCTTTTTCTAGTGTTCCCAAATACTTTGGAGCTATTGGACACCTGTTGAGAGCTGTTTACCGCTTTGACTGTTTCCTAACCAATAAGAGGACAGAATTTACATGGAGGGTATTAAGAACACTCTAAACGTATTCACCAGACCAGTAGCACACCAACAGGGCTGAAACACAACACGGTGTGTTTTAGGTCAAATGTCCACAAGATGTCGACATGGCAGTGCCTACAGAGGAACAATGTGACCACAAGTTTAGACACAGACAAAAACAAACTTCTCATCCACTGACACTTGATATGGTCATATCGTATGATAATAGCCTCGGCTATTCTAAATGCTGATGTATCCACTGGGCTATTATTAAGACCGATAGCAGAGGAGGGATTAAATAGGACTATTTCATGGCTACCATGGTTCAAAATGGTGCAGATGAAAAAGACAAACATAGTTCACATCGGCTCTATTTGCGGAAAAATAATCCTTTATTTTGAGTATAAAAATAACAGATATCTGATGAAAACATATAATCTCATGCATTCACAATTTTACTGTAAACTTAATTTTACATAATCTGAGTCATTGTTCAGTTTTGTGTTTTTGTCACGTTAATTTTCCACAGTAGGATTTGGATTCATTAAAGGTTCCCACGAACCTCTGAAGAAGCAAACCTCTCAATAGACGAATAAATGAAGCAGCTTTGTTTAGTCCAACATTGGAAAGAAAATGTACCGGCTGGTCTTGCTTTGATGCAGCTTTTCAGATTTGAATGGCGTCTGGAGGGTAAGACAATTTCAAAATCGTGTGATTTGTTGTTGCCCTCTTGATACAAATGAAATATTTCTCTTGATTGTATTTAACTTTTAATAAAGATAGTCAATTTTTTGCTTCAATATTTCCAATAGAGATAAGAATATATGTATTATCCCCAAATAAATGAATGTTTTAACCATCAGAGTACAACTTTAAAAGTCAAATGAGGGTAAAGAACGTTAATGTTACAGTTTTCATATATATATATTTTTAGCTATAATGCACTATTCGAATGCTCAGTTTTCCAAAAATGTAGATATCATCATACTTTTAGTCACAGAGTTTCATTAGCTGACATTATTTATTGTCCAGGATAGAGGTTTCTCTGGCGAGACGACTTTCAAAGCACCCTTAACACGAGCGCAACTCAAATATATTGGAAATGCTTTCTTTACCTCCGTGGAAAGAAATCTTCCCCCCGGAGAAACAAATCAATGCAAATAGCCTAATGTAAACGTGAATACGAAGCAATTCATTACATTCGAGTAACGAGGAGGCCAACACTGGTCACGGCTGTCACATCTCAGAGGTCCATCGCGTTCACTTCCTGCGTCCGATTTGCGCCAACAGGCGCGCGTTTTGGGCTGCTTTGGCGCGCATGTTTTTGGCCTTGGCGACGTCAAAGAGGACGTTCATGATATTGGTCGGGACGTCGAGGGACAGGGTCAGCCTGCTCCTGCGGTCCGCTTTGCTGCTGTTGCGTAGCATTTGGCCCCTGAGCTTCGTTCGGCTCGTGAAGCGGTAGTTCGCGGGACTTGAAGTCCTTTTCTCCCGGCTGGATTCGGCGGAAGAAGAAGAAGAAGACGTGGAGGAGGAGGAAGAGGATGAGGAGGAGGAGAGATACTCTGCGGACTGCAGGAGGGACCCCCAGCCGTCCAAGGGGCTCCGGACCCCGACTGCCGTCTGGTCGTCGCACACGAGGTCGTAACGCGTGCGGTAGAGGCGCAAGCACAGACCGGAGGTCGGCGCGCACAGGACCGACAGCAGCAGCAGGGTCTTCAGCGAGGACAGCATGCTGTGTCCTGCAGGACAGAGGGACATCGGAGAGAAATGTTTACTTTATGTTTTTTTTTCTTCTTCTGTATTTAACATCCCCACAACACGTAAGTGTACACAAGCGTTGTCATGTTTTAGAGCATTGAGTGTATTAATATCAAAGGAAGTAAGAGAAACGGCGGTGAGAATACATGTTTGGATTTCAAAATAAGCTGTAATCAATCTTAACACTGCTCTCACAATAAATAAACACGGTAGTCTGCATTAAAGTTGAGCAAAATAGTCTACATAACAGTTTTACATGCACCTCGCATTCAAAAATAGAGTCTAAGGGGAAAAAAAAGATTTCGTTTCACTTTCGATAAAGCGCGTTTAGCTTGTGTCTTCAGAAAGTGTCCAAGCCTATGGTTATTATTCATGTTGTACCGCATAGAGCAACAGTTTAAAGACAAAACCATGGGATTAATCATTTTCGTTAAAACTTACCACTCGTGTCCTAGGGTCAATAATACAATAAAAAAGGGTCACCACACACCTGCAAGAAAAAACAACAACAACAGGCAGAACTCCTCTGAAGGTAAAAACTGCGATAAGAGATTCGGCTGCACCGATGAACGTGTGCGGAGGTCAGCAGAGCGCAGTGTGGGACCAGCAGCGTGTCTTGCTCATCCATTGCCAGTGCATTCGTTTAGTAGGAGCCATCAAACTGCAGCCCTACGCCAGCAATGACGTCATCCCGATGACATGTCAAGTATCCCATTGGCGGTGATGCAGTGATGTAGTGGTGAGCACAAAGAAAAACGTTTGTTAACATGACATCACGTTGGTTAGACATCACGAGCAAAGATACGCAAAGACAAACTTTTTTTCTTCTCCCGAGACTTTTAAAAATATATATTTTTTTACCCTCCACGTGACGGTTTCTCAAATTCAGACTGTGCGGGCCAATCAAAGACATTTTCACTATTACTTTTGTAGTCGCTATTGTTCATCATCGTAGTCCGCTCGTATTTAGCACCATGGACAGCGATACTGAATCGAAAAGAGGAGAGTTCATAGTCAGGTCCAAGCTCCCATTCAGAACCACGGACAGCTCCTAGTCAGGACCTTGGACATACAGGAAGCATTTAAAACGTTTGCAATAAAGTTGTACTGAGTTTCCTGCTCTTACATTGTTTGATTTATGTGACATTTAATCAGACATACTGCGATTAGAAATGGTCTCCACTTAAAGGATACATTTTTTTTTACAATAAATTGACTGACTTAATTAATGAATAGATCAGTCAAGCAGTCAGCTACTATTCTGATATACAAAACAAATGTTTTTAATTATATAAAAAAAGTCTGATATTTTCAAACTTTTGGGTTTGATTTTTTATGATAATTGAAATTAAATAAATATTTCACTGTTGAACAAAACCAGCTATTTGAATACGTCGTCTTAAATTGCGGATTACTTGTTCAAAACCAATCAATCAAGAAAGTAGCCAGCAGGTTAATAAACAATTCAAACAAATATCTCTCATAGCCCAATTTGGAAACACAAATTAAGCACCTTTTTGATGTAGTAAATAAAAACTCCTGCATTGATTTGATTTAGCTGGTTGTCATCCTTTCCAGAAAGACATTGCTTTTCCTTTTTTAGCACTTCCGAATATTCCATCATGTCTGCAGAATGTACATTTTAAGTCAGTACATGACATGGGCATCTCGATGCCCAATAAACATTCAGAAACTCCAGTTTTAATAGTTGAAACATTACTAATACCTTTACGCAGTCATTGTTAGACAACAGGTTATTACCCATTAATCAATTCAATAGTAACAGCTCATAAACTACTTTAAAAGTCACCACTTTCGCTATGTGTGACATGCATAATAAAAGGGTCAGCGAGGCTTCGGCACTGTCTATGATTTGCATGCTGCATGTATATTTAATTTCAAAAGAAGAGTGAAGCCATCAGTCCCAAAGAACATTGTGTTTTAATTAAAACCGGTGTCCACACAACGCACGCCATGGGAACCACCCAAAGTGACAGATTACCGCATGTCAAAACCAAGTTGACAGAGGAGCGAGGGGTGTCGGGTCAAGCTGAGCAACTTCTTCGCAGGATTATTATGACTAAGTCTCCACAGCAGGAGCAATCACAGTCTGTGACACAAGGTCCGATAAGATGTCCTCCCACTCTTGTGTGTACTCTGCGGTTGATCTTTGCAACGGAATTAATTGCCCCTCTTCATTTTCAATGGAAAAATAATTACTATGCTGGATGGGTTGTTGTTAGTCATGTGACACGGGACATCTTATCTTATTTCTAAAAAGTTAGGCAACTCTTTCTTGATGGAGCCAAATTTGTTTGAACTTTTTCCAGAATTGACTCATATGAGCGTTGGTCCAACATGAACATTACATCTTCAAAACTAAAGAGTTTTAGTTAATTTATCTGTAATATTTCTGGAGTTGTGTCTTTGTCTTGTATTACCTTTTTAAATGAGGTAAGCCATTTCTGTAAACCAATGAAAGTTAATAACAAACAATAAAATGTGGGTGTTGCTTAAGTCATGTTTACTCTGACTGAGAAATAACCAAAGGCATCCAGTGGCGCTGACCTCTTACAGCCGTTTTTATGTTCACATTCAGTTTTAATGTAACCAATCTATATTTTGTAGGAGCCTGAGCCTGTCGGTAACATGCCAAAGGATCATTTTAAATACTAGACTTTTGTAAGCCTAAACTGTAAGGGCTAATTCTTTTTTTGCGGTGTGGTTTCTATCTTAGGTTAAGCTGAGTTGTGGTTGGCAGGTCGGTGCGGTTTAGCGAGAACATCCTGTCACTGCGGACTGCGTAACGACATCTTGCAGATCTATGAAGCATTTTCACATGTGGGAGTATATTACAGCGCAGAATCGTGACTCATGTGCAGAAAGCCTCCGGTGTCGAGAATCCGTCTCTTTGAGGCGAATGGAATTCGTGTTTTAAAACGCTGTCTATTTTCAGCGAGCTGCCGTTCGAGGATTTTAGCTCAAGAGTCCTGGTTGGTGGAGCTGGTGCAGCATGTTGCACACCAAGGTGTCCTCTTTGAAAATAACCACCAATGGCACCCTGGGAACCCAAGTTTGCGTCGTGTATTTTCACATGTCACACTGCCAGAAAAATAGAAAAAGACGTGAGTGTGTGTGCTGCCCCCACATCAACACCCACGCAGGAATCCCCTGCTACTGCCGCCGGGGTCTGATGACAGAGTCCTTTTGAAACAGTCCCTACGTGATCTCCCTCGCTGGGCTCCTGTTGGTCGCTCATCTGACCCATAACTCCACCTGCCAACGCAACATATGCAGTGACGAAGGGGTGTCTCGTTTTTCACACCGCAAAGGATGCAGGGCAATCGGCGAATCGGAAGATAGGTGACTGAGTTTTACGGTGAGAAGGCTGGAGATGAGACGAGCACGACGCGGATTCACAAAAAAAAAGATGGATTTAATGTTTCAGTGTTAGACATCGACCACTTTGACACAGTCCATTTTTAGAGGCATGTATACAAATGACAATATTCACATTTGAATTTCAACACAATTTGTCTATAAAACAAATTCATGATATGTTGAAGTTTATAAATAAATCCAATACACAAACAGTTATGTACAAAAGTAGATTTCTTGATATGGATTGCTAGTTTCCTCTCCAGGGCTCAGTACCTGTGGAAGTGTAAATACATTTTTATTACTAGGATTAAAGGATACCAGAATATCATAATGGCTCTTCTTATGATACATTGTCATCTCATTTGTAATTTACAAGCTTTTTTCCCGGCTTTTTGAAAAAGTTTTTCAACTTATCTGACTGGTCCCCACCTCTGCTCTCCATCCCACACCAACTATGGCATTCTTGTCTTGAGGAGAATTGGTTTCTGTTCCCCCCACAGCCGCTGTACACAAACGGCCTGCATTCCCCGGAGCGAGGGTGGAAGTACCAGAGAAGAACATATTCCGAACAGGCCCCCTCGGACATTGGCTCCAGGCAGCGGTCTTCTGCTGACGTCGCACGTGAGGGGAAAGATGAAAAGATAAACCAACAAACCTGAGATGCCGTAAATTCACCGTTCCGGATTTATGCGGCAAAGAATTGGTAGGAAAGGTTCTAGGATGTTTGAGTGGGATTACCGGATACATTATTCCGGAATGAAAGTCTGTGAAACTCACAAAAAATATGTATAGAGACCACTTGGGGCCACTGGTGTGCAAATTCCTGGAACGGCTATGGTTCAAATGGGAGATGTGAGTGTTTGTCACACACAAGTCAGTAACTGCATACTGATTTGAAGCATCTCAATAGTCACATTGGGAAAAAGTGAGGAGAATTGAACACGGAGCAAGTAGATGAGATTGCAAAACGAGGGGAAAGAAAAGAAGAAAATCAGTTGTTATGGACACTCACCAGCAGCATTGGTTCCAAACACCCCTCTTTTCTTCCTCTGTCCCCAATCCGCTGTCCCTCCCTCAAGCAAATCTGAACATCAGTGACACGTTTTACACGTTGGTGGATTCAATCATCGGGGATCAGACAGGAACAAGTTTGATAGGTCAACATTTAATCAATGCCAGTTGTCTTTTGACTCATCTTAAATCCAAGTGACCAACAAGTTGTCAAGTTGCATAGATCGTTCATCAGTTAGTCTTTTCAACGCATTTGTGCAATTCAAAGAATTTGATAAAACAAATGACAGCACGTTGTTTGTGTGACGAAACAACATCATCAACATTGGCTGTTAACACATCCAACAAGTGGAACCAAAGTGAACAACAAAGAGTCAGAGACACTTACGTCAAGCAACTGACCATTTATGGCAAATAATGACGTTGCAGCAACACATGAATCAGCCAGGAACCAAAACACAGATCTTCTGACTACAGGATGACCCACTCTTGCCCTTTATCTTTATGGTCTTGATATTATTTGGTCAATAACAAGCTCTCTAAAAGCTGAGGTTTTTTTTGATAGTTGACAGAGTAGATTTTTATTATTAGATTTATAGTTTATAGTTTTTTTTTAAGAGTATGACACCAATTAATCAGGCATTGAATAAAAGCTTTGCTAAAAGCCCAGAAGTGCTTTCACTTAAGCTTAGATTTAAACATGTTTTATCCATGGAAGGTTACCATAGCAACAGGATTCAGGCTACATTGTCATTCAACTCTTTTTTTCCTATAGATGACCTAATAGCATGATAACATACTGTGTGTCTCACAATAAGTAAGAACAGATGAAATGAAGTTGATTAGTTGTTAAAAATCATGTGTTGATATTTTATCTCCCAGTACATTATTACCGATTGAAAATCCCCACTAACACATTAGGACACCACAGCTGTTACACATAATCATGACGTATGTAATCACCAAGCGGTGACACTCACTCGATCATGATCTATATTCGAGTATATTAGACAACGGCGACATCCCAGGCATCTGTGTGTTTGGCCCACAGGCTTGAACGTTTACTGGTTTCAATGTGTAAGATGGAAATGATTGTTATTACCAGTGCTGTTCGGTAGAATCCCAGGGGCAGGACTGGTCTTTTCTTCCAGCTGGTCTCCATATTCTTCTACTTCTTCACCTTCTTCCTCCAACATTCCTGCTTTATGGCGGTCAGGGTTGAGGGATATCACGGCATCCTTCTGCTCTTTTTTATTCTCAATCACTGCCGTTGTTCCATCCGGATCCACAGACTTTACCATGAACTTGTATTCCAACCCTGTAAGGATGTGAACGTGACACAAACAATCATTGAACCATAAAAAAATGCCGTTTTTAATATCTTCCATCTTGTAGGAGACACCAACATACTTTTTAAATAATTGAGCATTCCTTGGCAAAGTTTAGGTTTATAAATCTGTTTTTTATATCAGTTTTACAAAAAGATTTTGAAAATCAAACAGGGAAAAGTGTTGATAATTCACAGAATTGTCCCTTAAGTGTATTCTAAGTGTGTAGTTGATTCGTAACGCTAGTATCGTGTTTGTGAATGGCTCCACTGCTGCTGGCACCATGGTGTGTGTTCCTCCGAGAGAACACAACAGATGGCAAAACACACACGGCTGCCATGCTGTTTCAACGGGAGCTTCAGAGCAAAAACACACACACACACACACACACACACACACACACACACACACACACACACACACACACACACACACACACACACACACACACACACACACACACACACACACACACACACACACACACAATGTGTGGCCTGTCTAGAGACACACAAATATTCTCTCCTGCACAAATGTACAGAAGAGTAGAACAACACATAGGAGGGTTCAAAATGTACAAGTGAATATTATGACAACATGACTCCCCCCACACACACAGACACACACACACATCTTACCACACTTTTCTACCACCTGCTGGGTGACTAGCTGCTTCACTTCTTCAGCCTTGACACAGAAAATGACAAGATTCAAAGCAAGTTAATCCATTTATTCAACTCGATGTGTACATTTATGTACGAGGTGTGTCTTTGTGATTGTGATGAACACGTACTGAGAGTCCAGGCTCCCCCTTGTCCCCCTTTCCTCCTTCAGTACCCATTGTGCCCTACAGATAAAACAACACAATTATATTTAAACTATTTGTACAATGCATTTTAATTTGAGAGTGTAGACTTCCAGCCTGCGAACAACCAGCATCTGAAACCAAGATTAGTTCCACATTCATAACACATTCTGGTGCTGAACGTCAGATGTGTTGATAAAATCTATCTAGCCTTTTTGAATTGTTTAGAACTGGTCCCATAGTTTTTCCTTTGTTAAAAGAATTAAGTAATAAAAGAGTTGGTTCAAAAGTATTACCGGCTCGGGGAGGGTCAAGAACTGGCTCTACTTTAAGTTAACCGTGTTTCGCCGGCACAGAGTTTTAGCGATTAACATAATAGCACATTGAATTGGAAATGCAGTTAACGTTCAGTTAAGGCTCTTACAATTTCTCCTCGTAGTCCCGGAATCCCAGGTCCTCCCCTCTGACATGGTTTCGATCGGCCCCTCCTGCCCTTGTCCCCCTGTTTGACAAAAGATCAGAGTGTGCAAAGAGGAAACATGCTGTGAGTTTCAAAATTCTGTCAAAAAGAACCTGCTTAGCGTCATGAAAGACAGTTACATCTTCTGTATATTACTCTCATTAGAGGTTTCCATCCACTCTGCAAACACCCAGTCTTCTAAATGTAGTCGAAATGAGTGAATCGAGTGAAACATTACCGCACTCGAAAGCTGCAGACAGAAATAGACCCCCGCATACAGTGTGTACGTGTGTTAATGTTAATGTGTGTGAGTGCATTTTGCTAGTTTCTCTGAACAAAGACAGGCATGCTGATGACTGTAATCAAGCTGAGCTCATCCTCCTGTTTACTTTCGTTTGTCGCATTCTGAGTCTCCTCTCCTCCTATGCAGTGATAGTCTGCTGTTATGAATTCACGAGATTTGTTTTTAGTGCTGCCATACCTCAAATAATTGGCAATCTTGTGAGCAAGATTAAGCAATTTAAGGCAGTGGTGGTTGTGATTGTTGTTTGCATGCATTTCAAGAAAACGACTCAAGAATTAATCATTCTTCATTTTTTTTACCCTGCATGTACAATCAGGGTAGAAAACAAAGAAAACAAATACACTATTAATGCATTTTAAAATATAAAACTATTATATTTCCTCAACGCACTGATGGACCAGGAATATGGTACCTTAGGTCCTCTGACCCCTTGGGGTCCTGGAGATGCTGGTGGTCCCTTATCTCCAACTCTTCCTGTATTCCCTGGAGACCCTTTAAACCCTGGAAAACCTGGAAAGCCGGCTTCACCCTACAATGAAGTGCATTGGCCCGGTCAGTGATCTCATGTGCACAGAGGAAAATACAAACAAGCACACAATCAGTGAAATTAGACAAGTTAGATAATGAAGTTCATTTACTAACCTTGTGTCCTTTCACTCCAGGAGCACCATCAACACCGTTGATGCCTCCCTGTCCCTTATCGCCCTGAAGGGAAATCACATGATGAGTGAGTTTGTGTACAGTTGGGGGAAAAGGGAAGTAGAACTGCTTTCACAATATTCACCTTGCGCCCTGTGAGGCCATTCAGCCCCGGTATACCATTGGTTCCGTGTAACCCCATATCTCCCTGTTTTGAGAGGATAAATTCATCTAAAGTATCAGCAGAATTTCTTCACATTACATTGTTAAATAACGTGTAATTGGGCCTCACTTTTTCTCCATACAGGCCTGGACTCCCAGTGCGTCCAGGCAGACCTCTGAAACCCTTTAAATGCATATAAAAGAAAGGACAGGATAGTGACACCGTGACGTGGCGCGTGGGTAAACAAAACGGTTCATGGAACAACTGTGACGGATAACAACCACGCCACCTTTTCTCCCTTCTCCCCTCGGTCTCCCGGTAAGCCCGGTTCTCCCCGATCGCCCTGTGAAAAGAAACAAAGTTGAATCTTTAAAAAAAATCTAAAGGATCACGATGGATTCTGTATTGATCTTCTATGTACCGTACCTGATTGCCCTTAAGGCCCTGCAGTCCTTTGTCTCCGTTGTCCCCCTTGGCCCCATCGTCTCCATGATCTCCACTGCGACCCTTAAAAGAGATGATGTGTTTTTTGCTGTGTGGGATTCCCTGAAGTGTAGACTGGATTGTCCTGTAGCCCTACCATCACGCCATCAAGTCCTGGCTCTCCTGGATCTCCCTGTCGGAGAAGAAGAATATTTCACCCACGGTACGAACACAGGTGAATGGTTAAACTTGTGTTTTAGCAGTGGGAAGCTATTAAAATGAAACATTATTTACCTTCTGGCCAACTGGTCCTCGTACTCCAAAGCGCCCCAATGCCCCCTTAGTCCCTGCATCGCCTTTTATGCCCTTAAAAAACATTAATGCTTTCTATCATTCTGAGTTTGTTTGCAGGGACATTTATTATAACTGATAATGTGAGATGTGATGATGAACAGTATAACATCACTATTGTGAATAACATTTCCATGCATTTGGAATTTCTCTTTCCCATAGCGGTTTTCATTACCTTGACTCCAGGAGGACCATCCTCGCCCTTTTCTCCTTTATCGCCATCAAAACCTGGTGCGCCTCGCTCACCCTGAAACAAAGCATCTACTCAATTATTCATAGTTATTTTCATTTGAACTTTGTGAGCGCTTGAGCTTTCTTTGTTGTCATTGCTTTTTTTCTCCTTCTGTCATTTTTAGTGTAAATGTCTGTCAACCTGGGGAGGCAAAAGAAGTTTGATGGCCCTTGTAAGAGAAAATAAATTTGATTTGAGTTGTGTTAATATATAATATCTCACAGGAACTCCTTTGGAACCTTTAGATCCACGGGGTCCTTGGATTTGAAGCATACTCCCCTGTAGGAAGGAAACAAATTGTGAATATTAGCTGTGAGTTCCTGTGGATGTACTTTATACATACATACATACATAAAAGAAGCAATTAATACCAATGATTCTTGTCTGTAAGATATTTTTTGACCGAACTTTAAAAAAAATATATTTTTTCACCCTATATTTTTTTAACTTTTATTTCCAAACATCTATTCTACCTAATATTTCAGGACTTTATTACTTTTTTTCTTACCATAAACAACATTTTTTTCAAAATATTTTTTTAAACCTAATATGTATATATATTTTTAACTTATTTGGACTTATTTCCACGACATTTTTAAACCTAAAAGTTTTGGACTTTCTTTAAAAAAACTATTTTGACCTAATAGTCAAATAGTTTTTGGCCCAACAAATATTTATTTTTTAACAGTGAAAATCATCATACCCTTTCTCCCCTTACTCCAGGAAACCCATGATCACCCTGCAAAGAAACACTGTTTTTAAAAAGCACTCCCCAAAAGTGTTAAAAGTACTGACATATATATCTCACTTCATAGCTGTTGCTACTCTTGTGCTATGATATAAAACCATATAACAGAATGCAGTCCAACGCAATCCACATGGTGAAGCATAAAGTTACCAGTAGCAGCTCACCTTTTCACCTTTGGCACCATGCCAGCCTTTTGAACCCTGGTGAGAAATTATGAATTTATGGGACTTTGTGAAAGGGAAACTCTAAAGGTCTCTAATACTTATTTGTATGGTTTAGAAAAGTTGCTTACTAAATTCCCAGGAGCTCCTTTAATTCCCTGAGTGCCTTTCTCACCCTAGAAAGGAAAGCAAAGGAAACAAGTCTGCTTAATATGTCATGTCAAAAGCCTGAAAAGGTGAAAAACGGAAAAAGATTGGATAAGCTGTCACTGAAACGGATGAACAAATTGAGTGTGGGATATTTTACATTAAATAAACAAAGCTAGATAAAGATGAAACATGTTGAAAGTGTTTGTCACTATCACAGGTTGTCTGTGATGAATACGCTGAGCTCGTTTTACCCTTCTGCCTGCAAAGCCGGGCAAACCTCTGGCACCAGGCTCCCCAGGAGCACTGTAACCCTGGTGAGGAACACAGTAGTTTTAACATGATGTATCATGTTTTTGCACAGGTCAGAAAGGAAAATGTCCATAAAACACAAAACGTTCTCATAATATTATATTTAATTTAGTTAATGCATCATATATATATATATCATATACAGTATTTGCACCTTTTCTCCTTTAACTCCAGGCTCACCAAGAGGACCCTTTATAGAGAGATGCGGTGATAGAAACAGAAAATATCAATAAATATAATTTCCAGTTGAAATACGATACAATGTCGCTAATGTCAAAGAATGATTGAAAAGAGTCAAACGTGTTTTTTGAAATTTCACATGGAAAACGTGACTATATATAATTCTAAAGTGTTAAATTATAAATTCATCTATCTGAACGGCTCCATGAATATTCAGCCAAATAAGATCATTGATCTGTTTGTAGGTTCTTACGTGAGGCCCTGCTGCTCCTCGAGGTCCAGGAGTTCCTGGTGATCCATTCTTCCCCCTTCTTCCCCGGTCCCCCTGCGCCGCCAACATACAAAACCTCTCAGCTTTCTCTTTCAAACACACAACGCTCTCCATATTTATACACTCCTTTACATTTCAATGTAATGTCAAAGCAGACTAATTGGACTAATTAGTCAACATGAGACGATGTACCTCCCTGCCCGGTTCTCCTGGGTCCCCCGGGGGCCCCCTAAGTCCAGGGGCTCCCTGCACGCCAGTGTTACCAAGAATACCCTGGATGCCCTGAGCACCCGGAAGCCCCGGCTCGCCTGGTTCACCCTGGAGGAAGAGGAGGTAGGAGAGAAGGAAAGTGACAAATTAATTGTTAAAGTTCACTTCTTTCATGTAATGCAGTAATTACTTTTCTGTTACTTTTGAATAATTGTGTTTTAAATAAAGTTGATTATTTTCTTTATCAATGTACATGCTCAAACCCAATTTTAAATGAGGGTGTGAGTCACTGAGCCAATTAAATAAGCTAAATTAAACGAGCGAAGAGAAGAAAAGTCAATCAATGAGAATGTGATTGAACGGACTGTTGGTATTAAGTGATTTTAGAAGGGATTTTTATAGAATAACAGATTGCTTATATTTCTTTTCATGAACCTTCCGTCCTGGAGGACCAGCCTGGCCTTCTGGACCTCTGTGGCCAATGCCTGGCTCTCCCTAAAAACCCAAAACAACATGTCAATGACATATTTCACTGGAATTTATTTTAAGTAAAAACACAACCACCTGATTTTGTCTGTTCTGTTGAAAACGTAAATGATTACAGCTGAAAAGTATTTACCTTTTGTCCATTTTCACCAATTTCCCCCTGAAAAGTGTATAAAAAAGAGTAAATACCAGCTACAAAGTGCATCTCACCACAATGTTTTTCATGAGCCAAAATAATTGATAAAAAAAAGCAGAATTGTCAGTGTGTTTAACAAGAGCAATTATTAATGTCTGCTTTAATCTACTGTCTTCCAGTCACACAGAAATAGAGCAGAGCGTGACATCAAAGGCTTGCACTAAAATGGCTTCACTGACATGCGAGACGGGAGAGAACCTCTCCCCCAGCTCAGCTGGTGTTTTTATAGACGGGTGACACATTTCGTGTGGCGACTGTCATTCTTGCTCTGCGATCTTACGGCGAGGAATATTGCGCCGAAAATTGGTATGAAGAAAGAAACATAATGTCCATTAATTATAATGGCTGTGTCTGGCTTTTACAAAGGTGACTCAATACATTTTTGACCTAAAATATCTTTAGTCACCTTTCGTCCCGGAGTTCCATTCTCACCTGGATGTCCCTATTGCGTGAGAAATGTACAATTACAGTGCGTTTAATTGAGCATGTCATATTCTGATGAGCGTGCTTTGAGTACAATGCGGCCTTACCTTGAGGTAAAAATATTGTGGAGGGTACGGGTACGGCTGTCCAGTTTCTTCAAAATGACCCCCCTGTCTCCCCCTCTCCATCTCCACCCTCCTCCTCTCCCACTCCTCCCTCTCCAAGTCTCTCTCACCCTCCTGCTCTGTTCTCTCCAGCTCCAACTCTGCCTGCCTCTCCATATCCAGCTCCTCTCGCTCCCTCTCCAGGTCCTCCTCCTCCTCTCCTCCTCCTCTCTCCCGATCGACGTCCTCCTCTGTCTCCCAGTCGTAGTCTCCGCTCCTTTCCTCCTCTCCATAGACTGGATCTGGGCCTGTTTCGACATTTCCATCCGTCTGTAGTGCTTTCTGGTTTTCCATTTCCCACTCGTCCACTTCAAATTCAGTCGGTTGCTCTCCTCCTCGTACTTCTGGATAAATCTCTCTCTCTGTTTCACTGTATCGCTGCCTCTCCCTCCGCTCTGGCCTCTGCCTCCTGGAATGTGTTTGAAGGTCAATGCTTTCTTGCATCTGTTGCTGGAGAAACATTTTTTGAGACAAACCAGTGTATTTATAAATCACACAACCTCAGTTTGGCGGAATGTTATTTTACTGAATAGTTGATGACAGACTTACATTCCAGCTGTTGTAACCTTGCGCTCCAGAGGATAAATGCTGAAATCAAAATGAAGGGGCAATCACATGTATAGTCCACAGATGGTTACCATGAAGTTAGATTTTCATGATGTGTGAAAGTCATTAATGATCACAGTTCTCAGGACCGAAACAAACTTTTTGTTCTTCCTTGATTTGACTTCTTCCCCCTGGGACTCCTGGCATGAACACCTTAAATAAAAGAAGTATTTTTACTGCTATTTTTAATATAATATATATATTTTTAAACAAGACACGCTTACCATGTTTTTGGGCCACGGTACACTTTTCTTCACCCTGATTCGGAATCGAGGTACCTGTCAAAGCCCCCCAAAGCGAAGAGAAAACCAAGCAAAATCATCCTTTCAACCATCTGTGGTGATGTGTATTCTTATGGTTCAAAAAAAGAAGACACAAATTGCCTCGGGAAGTTATTCAAATATTCTTTTACTGAAGATTCATGCACAGCAAAGTTAAACACAGAGAAAATTTCACCAGTGAAAAGAGTGTATGACCTGGATACAGATAAGATTATAGTGCCACTACACATTGTTGGCGTTCAAAGGTGAAGTAAACACACAACATATTCCAAGTTTCAATAAATAAAATTCCCGTACAACTTGTCAAAAGGAGATATATTGAATTTGGTGGCATAACCTTTGTGTTTAACCCGATTCATTACAGAGAAATATTTGTCTGAATAAATAAATTGAGTTGTAGACAAGATGTAGGCTACACTGAGGTTTACATTGCACAAAATGAAGAAAACAAAATATATGGAACATTCAACAGTGCCTGATTTTCTACACATCTCTGCTCAAAATAAAGATATGAACTTCGCAATGTCAATATGTTTGATTGGGTGACATGGTCTCTGTGTGGAAAGAAGTCCTTCCTCGTGTTGGTCAGGTTGAGGGCTCCTCACCAGCAAAACACTTCAGTTTATTCACACGTTCGGTGCAGTGTGGCCTTTCTTATGAATGCTTATCACCCTATCGTCACAATGTCTTGGGACTTAAGAGACATCCTGTTAAAATTAGACAGAGAAAGTATTACAAGTATAACTCTCTGGAGTTGTGTCTTTGCCAGTAGATCATTCTTGAATAGTTGGACACGGACACTATTTCTGCTCATTCCCACTCAGGCAAGGTAAAGAAATCATGCTAAAAGCATGCCGCTCAGAAATGCTCTCTTGTCTCATGCTTCGGCAATGCCTGCGATATTATATTTCCATTCCCGCTGTATTCAAATTAGCCTTAGTCAAACGTTTTTTTGCACTGGTGAAATTTTCAGAGGAAAGAGAAGAAACTAGTGTTGAAATATGAAATATGATGCCATTGCATTTGACCTAAAGCATGGTTCGTTTAAGCTTATTCTTTATATTAAGACAGGGAGAAAGTGAAGCCCGTCCTTCATTTCTTCAAAGCACTTCTCCATCATTTCCGGGTGTCTCAAGTTTAGTGTTAATGAAATAGATTTGCATTCCGAGGCATGCAAGAATCTTCAGACACATTCGGTTAATATTCAAGCCTTTCAAATCAAAGCTGTACCTCGTCTGGTTCTTCTGTTGTGACGGGCGGTGTGGGAAGTGACACTTCATCCTGGTCGTGACAATTAAGGATAGATTTAGAGCGTGAAAGTGACAACAGCGCCTTGAAAAACAAAGCACTCTGTTGATTATAAATTCTATATGTGATACCAACCGGGCCAGCTGCCTTTTCTTTATCACCCATAGTGGTGTTGTGGTTGTCGAGACAACCGACAGGTTGACAAAAAAAATCTAAAGAACATTGATACTATACACAATCAAAGCTCACTTACTTATTTCAGGGATCATAAGTGATCATTTTTAAACATTTAAAGCGGTTGCAGCTTGAGAATAAAAATGATATGGTCTTTATTTAGGAGAGGTATCCCTCGCCTGACCGGTCTAAAGCACGCAAAACATATTAGCATGTGTGGAGAATTTCACAACAGGCATATTTTAAAGAAAATACGTAAGAAACACAGAAATGTGCAGTTTCACCTCTGCATCTATGTGTCTGTCTGCAGAGGATGTTGGCGGATGACTGGAGGCTCCCACCAATGTTTCTGTCTGAGCAGGACGGGGTGTGGGCAATTGTTCCTCCTACAGAAAATAAAACCAGCGTGAATATGTCATTATTCCTCCCAGCTGAGCTCGGCTGCCTCCGCTTCCCTTTTATCAGAGTGCAGTCTTGCAAGTGAATTACATTTTGTTATTATCTGGGCTACAGATTAATAATCCATCGTCTTTTTATCTACTGGAAAGGGGATTTCATCTGCCTGGTGATCTGTGAAATTTATTATTCCCAATCCAGTTGAAGCAAATGCACCTTTCTGCTGTTGTTCTTCTCCTGGTGACCCGAAGAGTCAGATGGGGAAAGTTCTTCCTGTTTAAAAAAAAAAAAAAGAAAAATACCATTATAACTTTTAAACATGTAAAACCTTAAACATGTAAAACTACAGAGACTCCAGTGGCTGATGTGAAGAGCAGATGCACTAAACTGTAATGACAAACTAATTTATTCTTAATGATTAATTCAGGTAGTGGGTGTGTCATTAATCAACTGTCCAGGGTTGAGTGTGGGCACAAATGGGATGATGCTATTAAAAAACATCCAGATTTGATCATGACAGGTCTGTTATTAAGAAGCCACCCACCATGACAACGCTCCAAATCCGTAACAACCCCACGTCATCAATCAACACTTTAAACTGAAGTTTCCCACAGTTCATGAATTAGTCATTCGTCGGAGCGGCTGCCTACCTCGTATTCATAACTGTTTTCTTCGCTGTTATAAAACTCCTCTTCTTCCTCTTCTTCTTGCTTGTCCCCATCACTTGCCTTTGGATAAAAGGAAAAGTATCAATAATCAAAAGAAGCTACGGTTGCATCATAATGAATCATGTGTGTTGAACACGACAATGCCAAACAATTAAAAAAAGGAAACTATTATAAAATATGTCATTAATATAATGAGAAGCACACGTTAAGAACAATACATGCTTTTAGTTTCACCAGCTACACCATGTAAACATTAAAATGAAAATTCTGCTTAATAGAGCTGACAACTTTTAGTACTAAAGCTGTTATTTACACACAATTCATGTTATGTTAATGTCGTGTTAGAGGCTGTGTTAGTTGGTTTTTATTTTGTTTAGTTGGAGCAAAAGATAAGTTATGCTTTCAGGTTTAGTTTGGACCCCTTCAAGGACATTTACCAGGCGTTGTCTCTGCCTCTTATGCCGTCCTTGATTTCCTTTGCCCTGGTTAAGAAGTTCATAGTCAGCAGACAGAAAAAAAAAAAGAAAAGTTTGTCATGCTTCAGAAGTTTATGATCAAGCATGAAACTATGAAGTTGATGTAAGTCAAGGGTGATATTTAAAAGGGGAAATGGGGAGTTAAGATGTTCAGGAGGCCTTATTGTTAAAGTTATCAAATGCGAATCAAATATACTCTGAGGAATTGATAAGTAAACCTGTTTTATAGTAAATGTCTGCTTCTCTTTGTTCATGACAGTATTTACATTCTATAATAAAGCTGATTGTCATACTTCAGTGGCATCAACTGAAATGACTTATCAATATAAATTGAAGTTATCAAGAACGATAATTACAACTTCTTCAAAAAGAAACTGTTTTATGTTAAGTATAATTGATGAAACGATACTCATGCGTGTTTTAGATCAGAAAGTGTCAAATGCGGTAACCGATGAGATGTTGATGTTAGCTACCTTCCCACGTTCCCTGTTCTTCTTCTTTTGTCCAGAGGTCTTCTTCAGTGAATCCTGAATGAGGACAACGGTCTCCGCCACGGTATCCGGCAAACCTGCAACCGTCTGACATGCACATTTCTGGTTTTAAACCTTTTGTGATCCTCAAAACATACATTTTAAGATTCACAAATTGCATCTGACAGCTGAGTTTAGTCAGGTGTTCAGTGCTTCAACCCTTTAATCCAAAACGTGGCCAGGCATGTGAAAGTGAGCTGGAGTGAGAGACCTGCCATGAGCACCTCATCTGTGATACTAATAATGATTATCATTTTATGACAATGTTATCCGTAATGTCTTACACCAAGATCCCACTGTGCTCACATTCAGAAACCTTCAGGTGTGAAAATGCAGAAATGCATTTGTAGAAACCCCATATGAGTCAAAATGTTTATTGTGCTCAGCATCAACAACAGTTTAGTAAAATTGTACATTTTGAGTTGCATAATGTTCTCACCTCCTGTGTAGTTGTAGAATTGAATGTTGAGTTGACTACTGTCAGATTCATTTGCAGGGATGATGCGCCTTCACGATCATAATCTGCTATCTCTTTGCCTCCGGAGTCCTTTAACCTGGCGTCATCCCTGTGGAGCTCCTGCTCTCCGTTCGGGGTGGTGACGGTCCATAAAGTCGGCCCCTCTGCGGCTCCCCTTAGAAGATCCTTCAAACCAAAAGACAGAAGAATTTGAACTAGCAGCACGGGCTGAAAGCACATGAGTCATGGTATCCAGCACACAATGGAAAATATTTATTTATTTACTTACTTTAATGAATGAATGAATTAACATTAATTCATTAATTAATGTTATATATCCGTTATTCAATTAAATAAAATTTCAATTAATTTTATTTTGTAGAGGCCAAAATCGCCAATTACAAATTTGCCTCAGAGGACTTTAGTCTGTACACATACACACAGGTTGTAGCTCTGATGAACAAACATTTTTCAAAAGACTTTCAAAGGAGATTCAGAAGTTGCTTACGACGGTCAGCGACCCGTTTGAATCCGGCTCCTGGGTGGTGTCCAACTCTTTCTGCGGCTCGCTGGTGAGGTCAAACTTCACTGAACTCTGTTATAACAAATGAAGTGGAGATTTATTCTTTCTGCTCACTTTTGACTTTAGAGGATTGCATTGGTGGTTACAAATGCCATGGGATGGTAACTGGTTGAAGAAGGGATGATGGAACTGAATATTGAGAGTTGAAAGAATTCTAGATATTGAGTGAACAGAAGGAAATCATTCCGACCGACTTGTGACGAGCACATCGATCATCCACATAGTTCGCAAAAAAACGCAAGTGTCTTATAATCCCATGAGGCATGAGATGCATGCCACTTTATATTGAGCGCTCACACTTGTTCCCTGGAGTTACTCACCGTGTACTCAGTGATGACGTTGGAGGTGTGAGTTTCTGTATTTTCTTTTGTTTTCTTGGAGTTGCCGAGCACATGAAGAAGCTCCTCTATTCCATCCTGCAGCAGCCTGTCAATCAAAGTCTTGAGCAAAGGCAGCTGGGGAAAAATGGTTTTCATTGAGGAGGTCGAACTGTACAATGCAGACACGAATTCTATTTAACCCAAAATGTAAATTATGTCGTGTTGAGGGCTCACCCTTATACCGTAGGCTTCAAACATCACTTCGATTTCCTAAATAAGAGGAAAAACACATGTTCAAGCGGCAGAACAACAACGTTCATCTCAGTGGGTTATTGTTTCGCCCTGAGTTCACCTTCATCTCAATAGATTTCCCCGGAGCTCCAGCGTCACCCTATTGAGACGTCAAAGTAAATGATCAAATTCTAATTTCTATTTCCATATACATATGTTTTGGTCTGATAAAAACGAAACGCTACCATTTCTCCTTTCAGGCCCCTTTCTCCTTTATCCCCCTGCAATATAGTAAAAAGACAAATGAGCCAAAGAGCCAACATTTCTGTTTATTCATAACTCAGTTTCAGCGTGAGCCCCATTACCATCTTACCTTCAATCCCGGTGAGCCCTAAACACACAGAAACAGAGGAGCGAGGTATTGGAACATGCATCTACAATGCATGACATCAAGCTTAGCATTCCATACGGGGGCACGATTCATCTTAACCCAAAATAAAAGCATTAAAGCCATTGCTAAACTATCGCTCTGATGCCACGCGGGCAAAGCCACAGCTGTTAATGTGCCATTATTCACGAAATGTGCAGAAATGTGGTCTGTGTTCTTATCAAACTCACAGTCGCTCCTGGCGGACCCATTGGAACAGGAAATGCTTCTCGCATTTCATCAATGGCGGCGCTCTGGGAAACAATCATTGTAAACACGTGTTTAGTTCGTTTTATGGTTTAATGATTATGGACAGAGACAGCAGCTCATAGATTAACAGATTTTTCAAATAAGAAATTTGCATCCCTCTTTAACAAATCCATACAAGTGGTCATATTTTTTTACCTCTGGTGTGACGAGCACCTGCTTGCCGGGTTGACCTGGAGGTCCTGGTTCCCCCCTGCTGCCATCTTTACCCTTAGAAGGAAGAAACACTCTCAGTTGTTCAGTTTTAGTTTTTTTTCACAAGCATGGCTGTCTATTATTCTGATCTCAAAACTGCTTACATTTGCACCCGTGTCCCCCTTGTCCCCCTGGAATGAGAGGATATTTCATCACTGTATTCAAAAAAATTGCTTTACAAATGTTCGAGTTGGCCACAACACATTTCAGAGACCTTTTTGCCATCTTCTCCTTTCGGTGCTCGCTCTCCCTACAGGAGGAAAATACTTGTTCAATTTTTACAATAAACATCAAAGTAATCCAGTTGGTATCGTTCAGCGCAGGGCTGTAATAGTTGGATCAAAGAGCCTCTCACATCTTTTCCTTGCAGGCCTCTCTTCCCGTCAATGCCAGGTCTCCCCTGTAGAGCACATGAAACAAAGCAATAACAATCCCTGCAGATACCTTTTAGACGGATTGTCACGGTGGAAAAGCAGACGGCTCGTGCTAATTACACACCTGAAAACCGCAATATATCATGTTGGATCGTCTAGAACGTCACCATTAGAAATGAAGGATGGATTTTGAATGATTTGGGGTGATACTCACTGGCGTTCCTGGTAAACCAGGCATCCCGGCAATCCCACCTCGTCCTTGGTCTCCTTTATCCCCCCTCTGTTCACATGAACACACACACAAAAACAAGCCTTTTCATCGATATTCAGTGACATTATTAAACAGTATCATGTGAGAGTTCAAAACACTCACATATGGCTTTTCTATACACACTATATAAAGACTTTCTGATTTGAGCAGAGTATTTTACGTCATATGTAACTGTGTGTGAACAATATAAAGTTACAAAAAACATTGGTTTAACTCACCAGACCAGGTTCTCCTTTTTTCCCCTGGTCACCCTGTCGTTTTAATGACATATATGGTGAGTAAGTGCATGGTGTAAATGAACAAAGCTCAATGGAATAATGGGCAGATTTTAAAAAGTTAAACTATAAGAATACGTGTTCTTATACACGTGTTGGTGTTACCTTCATTCCCGGTTTTCCTGGTAAACCATCAAGTCCCTCTCTTCCAGAAACACCCTGCAAAATACAAAAGGTTTCTTGCGTCAACACAAACACATCATTAGTGACATAAACAGCACCACAATAGATGCAAGTCTATATGGTGTATAAACGTACCAGAGATGGTGCTCCAGGTTTCCCCTCTGGACCCTATGATGAGAGATCAATGTTGAAGATGATTAATTGAAATAGTCTCTGACCAAATACTAAAAATACCAACTAACATCCTAAAAATATTTAAACCACTAAATAAATCATAGAACACCAACAAACCGGCATAATTGAGAGGCTGAAAGCAAAAAAACATTCAGCATTTTTTGCTGAAGAAAACCCCCAACATTATTTAATATCCAAATGTTGGCAGATTTATTGTCTGCTCATTGACTGATTCAGTACTATCTCATACGTTGGGATATTTCACTGATATCCTGGCAGTATGTATTGTGTTTGTGACATGTGAAAGGACACTCACTCTAGGTCCCGGCAGACCGGTTTCTCCTCTCAAACCAGACTGACCAGGCTCTCCTGGCTCACCCTGGAGGAGAGAGAAGAGGAAAAGGAGCTCAATTATTAGTTAAAAAAGAAATGCATCACATAGAATACAGCATGTTTCATGTTATTCATCAAGCTACCTTGATAACTCTGGTCAGTATGTTGTGGTCTGCAACACCCTGGCAGGACAAGATCATAAACAAAAAGTTAACTTCAATAATAAGATAAATAATTTCAGGCAGATTGAGAACAGAAATTCATTTTCCGTGGTCTTGTGGGAGATTTCTCATTATTCTTGCTTCGTTTCAACAAACGCAAACATTGTCAAACATGGCTGAACTGATGAGAGGCTGTCAGCAAAGATAATAGAGGTTTGTTTACTTGTCCTCCCGGAGGTCCAGGCTTTCCCTTTGTGATAACGGCAGCACCATCAAAAGAAGAGAAGAGTTAAAAATCTAACATGTCACACTGCTAAACACGGTCCACACTTGCAGCACAAAGGAAAAATAGTAGGTGCACCGAAGGGTGGCACACACACAAAAAGCCAGACTTAATTAGTAAAGATATCAAAGTAGAAATCATCAATCACAGAGCGGGGGCAAGTTTTGTAGACGTTGACTGAAACAGATGAATGACACTAAAGGATAAGAAACAATAAACATGCTGAATGGTGAATACGAACGTACTTGTTCCCCTTTGTCGCCCTTCTTTCCATCAGTGCCCTTTGGAAAACAGAAAATCGCAAGTTACTTCGGAACACTTTTCTTTGAGCTGATTTTGTTTCAGTTATTCACAGAGAAAATAAATAAATAAGGATTTAGTTCATTTGGGACATACTTCCACAGCAGTAACAAATGACTTCAACTAGTGATATAATGGTGTATTCTTCTTCTCTTAGTGAAATTCTTACAGACAGGCCAGGCGTTCCAGTATCTCCTTTGCCTCCGTGGTCCCCTGGTCGCCCTGGTAACCCCAGTGGACCCTGATCAGCATCAATACAAAAGAGCACAGTCTTATATTGTGATTTTTGTATTATTATTAATTAATCTTGGAAAACAGACAATAAATACCCTAATTCCTCTGTCCCCAGGCTCTCCAGGTGATCCCTGCTCTCCCTGTGAAAGACAATCAAAGTAACCACTCAAAGTAAGTTATTTGTACCCAACTCTATTGATTATAGGTCATTATGGAACTAGCTAACCTGCTGAGCAACATCACTGACCTACAACGTAAATAAAAGATCAGTCAAACATCTGTACCTTTGGTCCTTGTGCTCCGTTAGCTCCAGCTGCACCCTACACGGAAAGTCGTTGCGGTCAATTTTACAAGGTAAATACAAATTAATATATAATATAATATTTATAAATAAAGTCATCATCTGTACATATCAAACACATCTCATATTGTGTTTTTGGATCATGTTTTAACAAATACAATAAGCTTCTGATGTAGCTTGTACTTAATAAACCCCTTTTAAGTCAAATAAATTTCAAGTGTGATGAACAAGTGACGAGTGTATCATTGCGTTGATTTACTTACATCTTTACCTCTTAATCCTGGTTCTCCAGGATTGCCGGATAACCCAATGGGGCCTCGTTCCCCTTTAGAGCCATCGTTCCCCTGGACACACACATGCCTTGTGTTTTAGAAACATTAACACAGAAATGTATTCCGAAAGTCCAAAACTAGATCAAACAAATGGCCACAATGGTCACTAACCATTGATAGGCATAATTTTCCAATAATACCATGAGCGGACATGGAGCAACCTTAGCATCAATTTGGAGTCAAGTGTCTGATAACCTGACAGAATGTAGCATATCATCTTATTACCACTGAGGGAAGCAATCTGGATCTTTAGACGTTAAATACTCCCCTGTGTTCACCAGCTGGTGTCCAACTTCGTCTATTGTTTAGCGTTGGGATAGTAATGTACATTTAGCATTTTCAAAAGACATTGATGAGAGCTGCTTATAGAATATTTTTTTCTCTTACTTTTGGTCCTGGTTTTCCTGACAAACCAATATTTCCCTGGAAATGAAATGTAAACGGACAAACATGAGTGCATGTGAACGGCTGTTTTATACTTCGGTGTAATGTGACGGGAACGAGGTTCCGAGTTATTCAGGGGACTCACCCTCTCTCCATTTTCTCCCTTTTGTCCCCGCAGTCCTGGAACCCCAAAACCGGGACTTCCCTGTGGATGTAGAAGTAAGAAACAATGTCAATGTTTACATGTTTACATGTTTTTCTACTTGAACTATTTCCTTTAATCTTTGGAAATCTGAAAGAAATGTTAAGATCGTCAAAAATTGTCCTTAACCATTTCTCCTTTGTCTCCTCGGTCACCCTTTATCCCCTGGGGACCTGTGATGCCTACTGGACCAACATCTCCCTGACGGACAGAACATATAAACAGACATGCACACAAACAGGGAACGTCAATCAGCAGGGCCATCGTCACCGGAACAAACGTCAGTTTCAAAAACAAAACCCTTCGCGTTAAATGGCCCCCTGTGGACTGGGAGATAAAAGGGGTCCCACTCACTGGAGCATTCGGTCCCCCTTCAAGAGCTAATGAGAGAAAATCTTCATTTAGTTTGATAGACGGACACAGAGGAGTCGGTGCGCAGGAAATACCCCGACCAATTAATTAAAACATTAACGTAATCCCCTCCCTGTGGCTGAATTACTTATTTCAGAGGCAGTTAAGATAAACACAGGCAAACACAAAACAGTTTCTTATCAAATTGAACACACTTTCCGACAACTCCAAATCTGTAGTCAATGCACTTCCACGGCCAACAGATGGAGACCGAGGCAGATTTCCTGCTAATTCAGTTTTTGTACATATGCTCCACGGCTCGAGGGTGTTTCAATAATAATGTGAGCCAGGGGGATGTTTCACAGAAAAATGCTTTCCAGGATCAATAAGAGTTGACTTTGGTTACGTACCCTGGCCCCCTTGTTTCCAGTTGGGCCAATTATCTGTTGTAAGGGAAAAGGGAAGACCGATTGTGAGTCAAGTGCTTCTATTTCTAAAGTTTAAATGTATAAAGTAGTTTTCTTACGCCCTTTGCAGGATCGCCAGGGGGTCCCCTTGGACCCTCATCTCCTTTTAACCCTAATGGCCCTGTAAATCCCTGTAAAGGTCGAGGTAAATACAAATTATCTTTGAATTAAATATATCTTTGCTGTTACAATTATTACTACTATGTTGTGCCAATCGCTAGAGCAAATCTCTTGTTTTTGCTCAATTTACTTTAACCTCTAATCAATAAAAAAATAACATAAATACAAAAGTCATTGCTATCTTCTGTTTGCCAACACTTTATCAGCTGTTCTGTTCAAAGCTGTGTAACTAAGGACAGGAATCCGGTCCTCATGACGGCAATTTTCTTCGTCATTGTTACTTTCAAATGATGAACTGCATCAAATTAAAAATCAAAGATGCATTCCAAAACGTCCCGTTGGATGCAGTGACTAACTGAGGTATGAGAATTTGGCACATTATGAAGTCATTGAAACCCAAGAACAAAATGGCTTCTTTATTTGTTCATGTATCAAAATCGAAATGACTGTTTTGAGGCGAAAACACCAAATAAATTGTTTAACAACAGCATTTCCAGCCATTTGGTCCGAGTTGAATAAACATATTGCTTCTGCCTCCGGCTTATTTGTGATCAGAAATTAATCAAGAAGTGGATTTATATATGCTCAGGTGAGTTAGTGGCAAATATGATCATGTTGGTTCAGAGGGACATTATCTGTACAGGAAATATTAAAGTTGTTAAAGTTGTTATTGATTGTAAGGAACATTTAGCCTCAGCCAATATATATATATATATATATATATATATATTGGCTGAGGCTAAATGTATATATATATATATATATATATATATATCGTTAAGATGTAATCGTCTCTCACTGTGGGTCCTTGTGGTCCTCTTGGTCCCATCTCTCCTTGTTCTCCCTAAAAAGACAACAACAAAAAAAGTATGCGACACTGAAAACGGCACAAATATGTATGAAGACATTCACGTAGATTGATTCTGTTGTGATGTAAAAATAATACAACTACAAGCTCTTGGCTTAAATGTGTTGATGTTTTTACTTATTATATCAATTTACATAGTAAACGTGTTCTGACTAATGAAAAGAAAGGGACATGAACTCACCTTGTTCCCTTGTTCCCCATTGAATCCCTTCTTTCCCTGCAGATAAAAAGAAAATCACAGTTTCTGAATTATTCCATCATTGATTCTTACAGAATATTCACCCGTGAATATGTTTGATCTAATTTGACTGAGCTGGGAAATATGCATGAAACCATTGCTAGCTATTGAACAGAATATAAATAATCATGAAATGCACACCCGGGGTCCGATGATTCCTTGGATGCCCTGTTCTCCACGATCACCCTTTAAAGATTATTTACAAAGGTTATTTTTCAATAGAGTTTTGCGATTTTAACCAGAGAATTTCACACAGTGTTTAAATGTTTATTACCTTTGGGCCAACTGGTCCCGATAAGCCAATATTTCCCTGCAAAACAACAGTTCAAACATTGAAAACAAAAATGGGATTTTACAGTAATGCATCCGCTGTCCCAGCTTAACAATCCTCCCCATAAAAACACTGAATTATCTTAGTGGATAAAAACCACCGTGTGGACACTAAATGGAAAGAAGACTTTTAAGTTTATTGCAATGTACCTTCTCTCCCGGCTCTCCACGAGGACCTTCAATACCTTGTATACCAATTCCCTCTTCACCCTGCGAAAAAGAAAGGATTATTTTGTCAGGCCAGTTACTTACTCACTACCTTTGATATTCAAGTGCTTTTAATTAGACACCTTATTGGTTTTCTCTCATTAACACTTTTACCTTCTCTCCTATCAGGCCTGGTAAGCCTGGCACCCCATCAATGCCAATAGGGCCGGGCAAACCGGCAAGACCCTGCAGATGTTTGCGTGCGTTTGAGAAAGGGACAGAGAGAGAGAGAGAGAGAGAGGGGAACAAAGAGGGGAGAAAATCACAGGAAGCAACTCTTTTTCCATTGTCTTACGCAACGTCTTTTGCCACTTCTCAGGATTTAATCAACAATGGGCTTACATCTTTTCCCGAATCTCCTTTGTCTCCTTTCACACCCGGCTTCCCACGTAAGCCCTTTCAAAAATAATTAGCAGATAAAAACAAAACAATGAAAATTTCATGGATGTTAACATCTTATTTATTAAAAATAGGCCCCTTCATGCAAGTAGACACGAGGCATGATGCATGATATTTATGCTGCAAATTAACATTTTCTTGGCAGCCTTTCACAAACATGAATAAAGAGATACTTACTTTTGCTCCCAGCTCCCCAGGATCTCCCTACGTGTACACAGTAAAAAAAACACCTGGTTGATCTATGTTTCGGTTCAGTGTGGAACACCACGTACTGCTTACTGTAGGTCGTTCTGACTTTACATTGACATGATACCACGAAACAACACAAGGTCACCATTGAAATGCCATGTTAAGGCCCAGTTAAGTTACCTTAACAGAGAGTCCTGGTGGGCCCGGTGATCCTGGTTGGCCAGGTAGCCCTGGAGCTCCATTGACACCTCGTACGCCAGCAGGCCCCTGGGGACCCTGTAAAATGTAGTGATTAACATTTGAATTGTGCTGAAATCACTTGCCCGAATAATCCAAATTAGGTTTTTGAAGGACTCACCGAAGAGCCCGGCTCTCCTTTACGACCAGGAACGAAATTTGCATCGGCGCCAGCTATGACATATCCAGGCTCTCCCTACGGATAATACAAGGAAAAGGCCTCATAAAACAGATCATGTTCATCCTTTTTATTGATCCTGTTATTGATCCAAAACGAAACTTGCTATAGAGCTCAAATATGTGTAGGAAGCAATCAGTGTAAAGTAATTGCACATGTTGGACTTACTCTCTCTCCTCTCTGTCCCTTGGGACCAGTGAACCCATGTGGACCCTACGCCGGATGAGGGAATGTTGGAAGAATTTGTGAAAAAAAGATACAACAGTCATCCTCCTTATAGATGGGTGTAGAATTAGTTTATTGGTGAGGCTTCTTGCCTGGTTAAACCACCAAGATGGATTTTAATTCTGATGTTTGTTGCGTGTCTTCCGTTTTGTGTCCCCTCTCTACTGTCTACAATTTAGAAAATGTGAATACAAAGCTCTACCTTCGGTCAGCGATTGAGGGACAAAAGAAAACTTGCTCAGAGCAGATGATTGACATTCAAAACACTCTTCATCTTCTTTTATTCCTTGAATTGAGCTGAAGATGGTTTTTTTTTTTGAACATCAGATTCATATGATAGGAGTTGAAGCGAACCGATTCAACGTAAAGCACATGAAAGAGGTTTTGTCATGGATATGTCATGTAGGTCTTACCATATCACCGTGTGCGCCTTGAGGGCCCTGAAGAATAACAATCGACAAAAAGAATTTCAGATTGAAGCTTAAACTTTATCCAGGTCAATGTGTGTGTGTGTGTTTTTCCTGAGTTAAGTTACCCGTTGGCCAGCAGAACCCGGGGGTCCGGGTCTCCCTGGTCGTCCTGGCAACCCAGGAATACCATCGGTTGCAGGAGGCCCCTGTCATATTAAAACATCGGGAATATATTTTATTCCTAATATTTATATCATAATATTATAGAAAAATAGATATAGACACCAAAGACACACTTGCCAACACAATAACAACTATCAGAATAGATAGTTAAAATAAAAAATAAATTACAACAATGATTCCATATTCTGGATCTATGGAGACAGAGCTTTTGTATTACAATTTAACAGTCAAAACACTAATAAGAGACTGTAAGTCACCTCCCATCAACCAATCTGTACAAAAGATGTTCTTTCAACTTCTGAACATCTGGAAACTGGACAGCTTATTGCAACTCCCATTACTAAAGACTCTTTAAAAAAAAAAGTCTTCTCCAACTTATTTTATTTAATCCTATGTAAACCCAATCCAATGCAAAGTCTCCCTGTCTTTGACTGTAGCTACTGCTGTTGTACTTGATAGCTCTCTGTTGCTTTGTAGTGAATAGCAGTTGCAGTGCACGATGCATAAATTGTGAAACCCAAAAAATGTATTTATTTTTCACTGCGGGTCAACCACATGCAGCAGTGTCACATTTATGCTTGTTTCTATGCTTGTCACTGCTGCCCTGTGCGCCCGCATGTATAATAGATAAAGCTAAAAAGACAGCAGACAGGTAAGAACAACTTGAATATTAATGACGACCATGATGACAAGAGTGTTTTAAATGTGTGTTTGTGTTTTGCTGGAGGTTGATTTTTACCCTTTCTCCCTTTTCTCCTTTGGTTGAAGTAAAAGGATCATACTGTCCTGGGCTTTGCCGAAATCTCTACATTAAGAGGACAAAGAGTACTCGTTATTCTAAGAGTTTAATTGATAGCAATGCAGGACAACGGGGGCACAGTAGGAAAGAAAATTCAGAGTGGAATTATCGCTTAACAAGTGTCATAATGTTTAAAAAAAACACTTAAAACATACCAGACCGCCGAGACCAGAACCACCTCCCTGAAGAAATTACAGCAAGAATTCAAGCTGTAAATAACATTGATTTTGTGTATACTTGTAGTTTGTTGTAACCTTTAGCAGATTTCAGTACACTCACCGGTTCCCCTTTCTGACCCTGGATAAACAAACAAACCATGTGATTAATAGTGTAACCTTCAATCAATAGAAGAATTAATGAATCAGACTATTGTTTACGTAGCACATCAGTGATCTTTAAACCACTATGCAAATACTGAAAAGACACATTATGCTGCTGTACTACAATTACTATAATTATCTGTGTATTTGTGTGTAATTGTCTCGTCTTTTCATGATTTCTTTCATCTTTAGTCTTTCATATTTGGTTGCAGTGGGACCGATATGGTAACACGATAATGACAGATGACGGGATGATGACTTTGACAAGGGAAGGTAGCATTTCGCTTTCTACCAACCTTCACACACTGAGAGGCGCAGGGACCCTGAGCCTTAAGCAGCTCCTCTGGGTCCTCAGTCGGGGTGTCCAGCTGAGCGGACTGCAAATTGACACGAGAAAAAAAGGGGATTAATTTTGGACATTGTGGTCGACAACAGTGTTCCTTCCGGCATTTTACATTCCTATCTATGTAACACATAGTCGCCATTGATGAATAACCATCTCCGGAAGGGCTATGGGAGAATCCTTTTATGTACAACTTTAGCAAAGTGAGCATCACCTACAACACCTCTGAGCCAGTTGTGGGTGAAAGATGTATTATAATTTATTAAGTCTGATTGAACTATCAAATATCTTGGTGTAATATCAAAGAAATGAAATAGTGTTGCCTTGTTTGTGTCTTACCTCATCATTAAGTTTGAACTCTGAAAGGACCTCCTCATTACAGATGACATTGATGAATTCTCTCTCTATGGAAGGGAAGTCATCAAAGGTTGGTGAGTAGAAGATGTTTTTGTAGCTGGTGGGTGCTGCTATCTTATTCAGCTCCTCCATGTCTGCATTAGAAACTCCAATGGCCAGGACGCTGACACCTGCAGAGAAACAAATGCAAACGTTTATTATATTGAAAGTACTGAAAAAAACAAACATGTGATGTTGCTAAGCTGTATCCATATAGGCAACTTTTTAGATTTTTTAAATTCCTATTTTTATAGGTAAAAACACCATTTGGAGTGATTCCATTCTTCTTGACAATGGTTTTACTGACCCAGAGCACGTGCAACTCTGGAGGGTGGAAGCACATCATCCTGGGCTCTGCCATCCGTAATCAGAACCAGAATATGGGCCACATCCTGCCTCATCCCCAGAGACTCCTGGAATAGCTCCTGCAGAACGTAGCTGATGCCTTTTCCTGATGATGGACATAAGTATTGAACCTTTGGGAGTTTTACTGTGCGTACCTTGAGGGACTGCAGTCCCGTTCCCGATGCACCATATATATATATATATATATATATATATATATATATATATATATATATATATATATATGTTATTAATGCACACCTTCAATCCTATAATATTCTGTATAAGCTGTTAGAGGCTGTGACATCAAAACGGATAAGAGGTGGTAGTGTGAGCGTCACTAACCTGTTCTGGTGTTGCCTCCTGCGTAACGTAGTGCTCTGAGCGCCTTGAGCAACGAGTTTCTGTCTTTAAAGTCACTTAGACGGAATTCAATTCGAGGCTCATCACTGTAATGAACCACGGCGATCTGAGAGAAAAAACACATCATCATAGCATTGCAATGCGCAGCAACTTTGAGCTACAACTCCGAAATGCATTTGAATCCTCCTCCTAAAATTATTTGTGCCTCTTCCGTGTCTGCCAACATTTATAAGCCATATGGCATTGTGCCCGGTTATCCTTTCTGCAAATGTTTGAGTCTGATTCAGGTGAAATAATGGCCCATTAGGCTCCTGCCAATGGCACTGAGTTGCACAGGATTCCCATTGAAGCCGCTTGCTAACCTGCTGCAGCCATCATCGTTTAAAAATCCAGTTTTTAAATGTTGTTGTCCAACCGTACAACTTGGGATAAAAACAACAGACACATATTGAGACAGAAGGTTTCACCGATAAACCCACCTGTGTCCCCTGAGGACCAATGCTGGGGAAGTACGTGGCCACCCGGAACATGAAGTCTTTCATCTTGATGAAGTTGTTGGCGCCAATGCTGGAGGACTCATCCACGAGGAAAACTATGTCTGCTTTGGTCTTACCGCACACTGACAAAACAAAAACACATTTAGCATTTATATAAAATATGTTTGTACGTGTTGAAACTGTTGACACCAATGATATTTTAATAGAATATTCTCACAGTAACTATAGAGCTATATCCATCTATGAATAAGCAATACCATGTTTCGGTGGAGCTGCACGAGGTGTGGTTGATGGAACTGAGGGGACTTCTGCCGCTTTCGCTACAGAGACACTGGGCTGATCCGGAGGCTTCTCGGTGGTCATGGATTTCGTTGGCGGCGCAGCGATGGGGTGCCGGGTGGTCCTTGTGACTGCGTGAGGGACCCTGGTGTTGGTGATGGAGGCGGTCGTGATGGGAGGGGCGGCTGTGGCTGGCACAGGCTGGACCGTCACCGCCGGGGGATCCTGTCCCACTGGGATGAACAGACACGTGACCAAAACTCATACTGGGTAATATGCAATGCAAACTATATTCATTACAAAATATTGATACTGCTCAAACGGTATGTATATCCTGTGCAATCAATAAGCATAACTGTGCAAGATGGAGGTCAATGTTTCACAGAGCAAATCAAACCATTTAAGTAGCGTCTTACCTATTCTCTGAAACACGGTGCTTATAGGCCCCTCCATTTCTCCATACAAAGGCCTGATGGTAAAAATATAGGTTCTCCCATACAGCAAATCCCTGATCTTATAGGAGCTGAAACCTGGGCCCAGGGTCTCTGTTTTGGTCTCTAACACTGAGGAGACACACAAAGAAGAAGTTATTGGGTTATAAGAGTCGAGTCAAGGGAGCAATCTATACGTCATCATACATTGGTTTGTGATTCCAATAAAAGCAACATTGCAGTAAGTTGTTGTTCAGTGGGAATAGATCTGCAAATGTTCTGCTGCACTGGGCATTTATTGAAAAAACTCGTCAAATGTCACCATTTATTTGTGTGTGTGTATGTCAGTATTTCCTTTTTCAAGAAAAGAGTGCTAATGCTGAGACTAAATTGCGACACGCTGCGTATCAAAACCCTGAAGGACGGGAAATAGTTATCTTGTTCTTGGAATGTATGAATTAATCCAAATGATTCACAAACCAATGCCATTTTTAAACATGGCGGGGGCTCATGCTGCGACTCGATGCTCAATGCAATGCAGCTTACACAGTACAGGAATTAACCTCTTTGCGACTGGAAACATTGCATGACGGCATCGTGATGATTAATACGAGGTGAACCAGACCTGAAATGTGCCTCCAGGAGAGAAGGTATCCAGAAACAGCATCCACACGCGTCCAGTTCAGAACAGTGCTGCTGTCTGTGGTGTTAAGAGCAGCAAAGCCATTCACCTTGGGAAGATCCACTGAAACAGAACGAAAACACACAGATGATGAAATAAACAACAACAACAAGGAAAAGTTGGTCATTCATATTAGTATTCTTAACTCAGCAGGATCATTTTCATGTAGGGCGATGCACACAAAACATTTTAATGCTTTACATAATTATAGTTGGATAAATATCCCCCTCAATCCTCTGATGAAGTGCCCATCTTAGACTCTTCCTCGCTGTTTCGGGCAGGCAGGACTCACAGGTGCGTGCAGTGAGCAGGAGTGGGCTTCCCTCCCTGTTGCCCACCACGGAGGACACCTGGATCTTATAAGCCGAGCTCTCCCGCAGCTTGCCGATGGTGTAGGTGGTGGATGCGGCAGACACCACCTGGGACTTCTCATCTCCCCCTGGAGAAAAGGATGAATAAACATGATGAACAATACCTCTGTGTGCAAAGTTACAGGTGAAAGTCCAGTGATCTATAAGGAGCTGTGAATAAGGAGCAATTATGCACACTGCTATGGTTCCTTTACCAAGGAAGGGGATCCAGGAGATTTTGTACCCAGATGCCCCTTTTGTTTTCCTCCACGACAGGGTGAAGAAGTTGACCCCGATGTCGACAACCTTCACTTCCCTAACTGCCGGGATTGGCTGCGAACCCGAGAAAGCAGCTGAAAAACACAACATGTATCATTTGTGGTTGTCGTAAACAGACGTTATGAAGTTAGGAAGACCATTGACTTGTCAGTTCAACCAAGGCAGCAGCAATTTCAATTTAAAGATGAATCATAATCCATTAAAAAAAAACACAATGAGAGACCTCCCTTCCTGTACCTGTGAGCTGAGATAATGAAATTTCTGGTCCCTCTGAGTTGCCATAAACTGCACAAATAGTGATTGTGTACGTGGACTGTGGGTTCAGGTCTGTGATACGATGGAAAAGAGCACTACGTTCCAGGTAATGGGACCGAGGGCTGCTGTCACCTGCAGACATGTGGGCACATAGGCAAAACACAACATTATATACAGAGTAGCGCTTATCTGTGTCGCACACACCATTTGCATTCATTATGTTAGTCACAAATTTGATGTTCAAGCTTTAAAAAGGCTGACAAGTTTGTCTGATTGCCAAGTGAAAACATGTTAAGAGTCCATCACCTGTGGTCCAAGACAGTTTGTACTCAGTAGCTCCAACAATCGGACTCCACTCTACATCTATGGAGGTACTGGTGTACGACGACACCTTGAAGTTGGACACGTAGCCCAACGGAGCTGAGGAGGAGGAAAATAATTGCATCAATATGAAATGCAATTTAGTTCCGGTCATCTTGCAGTGTTTTACACACATTTTGGGCTGAGAACTATTCAGTTCACTATACAGTTTAAACAGAGTACACAAATTGAAGCTTTACTACCAGAGCCAGAGTACAAGATCAACAACGGGACTTTTGGTGTGAAGTTTTTAGCTTGACAAAACCAGCATATTGGCAAAAAAGACCATTATAGTCACCCTTAACCCTGTGGTACTTCAGGTGAAGAGTTAGTATTCAACACTTTTACTCACAAGTTCTGAAGGTGGCACTCATACCGGGTCCCACCGAAGGTCCAAAGAGCACGTAGAGAGACAGGACGTACTCGGTATCATGCGCTACATTCTTCAGCTGGTGCTCAGTGGTGCTGCCATTCAGAGCCAACTGCCTGGGACGGTCCCGACCAACAAACTCTGAAAATATGACCAACGTTGACAGTGCGGTCACACCTCATTCTTTTTTTTCTCACTCCGCCGTCCTTTTCCTAAACGCAGGCAAAAGCTCACTCTTTTACATACGAGAGTCATGAGATGCATCAGGAGAAGAAACCACAACACGCTGTAGCTGCGTGAGGTAGACAAATCAAGAAAAATGAAGCAGTGAGAATCACCTGGGGTGGGTCCCCAGGCCAGTCTGTACCCGGTGGCTCCTGGGACACTGTTCCATGAGACAACAGCACTGCTGGTGCTAACAGCAGACACCTTCAACGTTTGCACCGCGCTGCTTTCCACTGGCACACAAAGGGAGACAGACAGGGAAACGTAAAATCTAAACTAGTCTGTAATACTATAACTACTCTAACTTTCTGTTTTTTTGTCCTAGTTACATGTCTTGACTTTGGTGGAGGTGATGGGACCCTCGATGTCTCCAAAGATGGGGTTGATGGTGATGGTGTACTCAGAGGCTGAGTGGAGGCCCTGGATCATGTAGAAGTTAAAGTTGTCCCCGAGGTTTATGTTCTCTATGTGGCCGTCTGAAAGACACAAATTCTCTATTGTCACACTTCTTGGGGTTATTTCACAAACCAAGGTTGTTTTTTTTGCAACACCCTTGTATTCCATTTTGTAGCAAGAGTAACTGGCGTACCTGGGGATTCCCATGTCAGACGGTACCCCGAGGCCCCCTTAACTGATGCCCACCTCGCCTGCACAGTGTCCGTGGTGGCGTTTTCGACCAGGAACTTCTGAACTTGTACCAGCTTCACTGTCATGCGCACGTCACGGAGGAGGCAACACCACAACAAGTTAGTGACGCTCAATCCCGCGAAAAGTCCACATTTCGCTTCAAACGGTGTCCACAAAATGCAAAGGAATGCAAAAGTGAAATTATTTAATCAGATGCAAAGAAAAGATTTGTTCAAAAGGAATCTAATGAACATTTTGAAATGCAAACAAATGTAAATGAATCGAAGCACAAAACATGATATTTATCCAGCGTATGAAAATTGCGATTAAGGAGAGTCCTACTATGTGTATTAAACTTAACGCTGGTATTTTCTACAACAACACCACCACCCTGTGTCGTTATTATGGTACTACAACTACTATTTATTATTTTTTTTATTAACTTGAGTGTGAGAAAGTTAGTAGGTAAACTAAATGAATTATGCTGTTTTCAAACTTACATGTTCTGCCCACTACTGAAACCGTTTCACTTTGTCCTTGGGAGTAAAGAGCATAAATACTGATGGTATACTTCTTGTCCTCTTCCAGGTTGTCAATCCTGTGAGAAGAGGTGTCACCGGGAAGCAAGTTCTCATAAGTATATCCTGGTCGGTTGGCTGCAGAGGAAAAACATCCAGAAGATTACACAAAATATACATTCGACTTGGTTGAAAATGCAAGTTTTCATCTTAAACAATAATTAAAAAGAGATCATTATGAATATAAATACTGCAAAAACATTTTTTATAGTGCAATGTTAGCATACATCTTGGGATGAAGATCTTGAATCCGTTGAGCTTCCCGAGAGGATGCGTCCAGCCCAGGCGCAGGGAGAACAGGCCCTCCTCAATAACACGGAAGTTCAATACCCGAGGCAGAGGGGCTACAAGGCAGATAATTGTTGATCCGCAAAACGAGGTAAATCCCGAACAAACGTGCAGAAATATGTGTGTATTTTCTAAAGAGGCGCGTGAGCCTGCAGTGGCATGTGACACTCACTTGTCTGGACGGTGATCGCCGCGGAGTCTCCTATGAGGCTGGGGTAGATGGCGTAGACAGTGAGGGAGTAGTCGGTTTTCGGCGTGAGCTCCGTCACCACTGCCGTGCTCACATCTGCCTTCAGGTCAACCTGCCACATACGGGGACGACAGCAGAACGGATGGAGCTTATAGGAACACGCATGCACAAGCACAAACACGCAGACGTCGCTGGGGAAATCAATATCGTACTGGTTCCATTCATGCATCATTGACAGCGGTGGAAAGCCACACGGTTTATATTTTCCATAATCTCTCTGGCTGCATGGAGAGATGACTCACTGCATTCCAGTGCTGGTCACAAAGGTAAGATGAGCAGTCCTGATGTTGAAGGATCAAGGGATGTACGGTACAGTCCAGCTCATTTATCATCAAGCACATGCACATTCCCTCACTTGTCTCTGTTGTAGCGGGGAGGCTTGTCCGCTGGAGCTGAGCGGGTAGACCAGGAGACGATAGCCGGTGACATCGCCTGTGGCCTGGCTCCATGTCAGTCGGAGGGAACTGTGAGCCAACTCGCTCACCTGCAGGTCTTTGGGACCCACCACAGGTTCTTCAACTAGGATCGGGAGGAGGTACAGAAGGAGGGATGGGAAGAAAATACATTAAAAATATATGTTAGAAAGGGAACGGGAAACGTGTAAGTTGATCGGAGTGTAAAATATGAAACCTTTTACTTTTCAAGCTATAAAGCATCAAAATAAAAAATGCAAATAGCCATTAGTATGAGGGCACCTTTGAAAAGATATCGAAGCTTGTTATGAAAGAATGCTGTGTGTGTGTCGGCTCACCAGGTGCAGAGGTTTTCACAGGTAGTGGTGGTTCAGAGGCGGTAAAACACACTCTGCGTGACAGTTTGGGAAGGATTTTTTCCAGGAGAGCATAGTCAGCGCCCAGTATTATGTGCTCCTCGTGTGGCTTCGACACAATCCTCTGCAGCTCGGACTCATCAGCACCGCTAACACCTGGTCACAGCATAGAAACAAACAAAGCAGCACAAACAACACCCGATGAGAACAATTGACACAACGAGTGACCTGCTGGAGATTTTACCTCATTAAAAGTGAATAGCAATTACAGAGCAATGATGTCCTTTGATTGACATCTTCTCTTTCCTACTGACAGCACTAGCGACAGCTGAGGCAATTTTATACATTCATTTCCAATCAAGACAGGAGTTACAAACACACACATACCGCAGACATGTGCAGCCTTTCAAGTGAAGGAACAATACCCGACAAAGACTTGTCTGGGAGAACTGATTGTCAAATACATCTATGTGAAATCTGCTCCTGAGCAATGTGTCCTCAACGCTATGCTTGCTCTAAAGCCATATCGGTTTTGCACTGCTGGTTCACTATGCGCTTCTCTGCGGGAGAGATGAACGAGAGGACTAAGCCGTGGTGTCAGAGGTGCAGATGGAGGACACCGACTCGTCTAATAAATAATGGCTGCGATTACCACACCGACGGCTAATGAGCAGTAATTACTGCACTGCTCCCAGCTGAGGGCAGTGAGTTGTTGGCTTGTGTGCATGTGTGTGGTAGGAAGAGGGAAAGGTATGTGTCAGTACACTTGTAGGTGAACAGCGGTGTGTATTCATGAGTGGGGGAAAGGCGTACGCTATAGGATAAAGAAGCTTAGCTGATGCAAAACACACTATCAGGAAGTGAACTTTTTACATACACAGTAAAGTAGCTGAATGCATATTTAGTAGATGTCGTTATGTCTGCGCAATACATATACAGTGCATATACCTGCACGGGTGCACTCAACAAGAATCTCTCACACCGTAGCCAATGAATTCAAATGCATGACATGAATTTCTGACTGCAAACACTGCAGATAAGCCGGGCAAGGCTCGGATGAAATGCGAGGGTCCGCCGTAGTCAAAGTGTCGAGGGAATTCACAATACCAACTTCCACACTCACCTACTGCGAAGAGAGAAATCCCATTGTCGGCTACAGCTTTGGCCGCGGCGTCGACCTGGTCGTCTGAGCGTCCGTTTGTGATCATAACAGCAATCTGTGCAAGAGGAACGGAGAAAATATGTATTCAAGTCATCAAACTAATAAGAAATATGGCAACATCTTTCTCACTCAACAATCTACTTTTGCATATTTGCATAGTAATACCAGCATGGTGATTTTAAGTAGCTTTATTTTGAATGAGCTTTTATTCTGTGAAAAAACTTGCTTGTTTTGCTAAATCTATGATTTATCCTCCATTCACGTCTTTGGCTAAGAAGAATATATCCTTGCAATCAGAGCTATGCTCAAAAATCCCCCACAGACATTTGAGATGATTTAACTAATTTAATTAGAAACCCAAAGATGAAATTGGTCTGGTTTCCAACAGAAACTGATTTACCAATTAAACACAGCGAACCCAGTTCATCCTTGAGTCAGAAGAAGATATGAATGAAAATGTAGCTGTTTTTCTGCATGTGTTCTAGCTGTCGAAATCCATACATCATCCAAGCACTCAATTCTCTGCCTCCCTCGTCAAGTGTGCTGCTGCAAGATGATTCACGCGCTCACTCAGAGATAGAGAGGCGATTGGAACAATAACTAGCTGTTTTTTTACTGAGATTACTCAACTGTGTCTGAGAAATGTAGCTATCAGAAATGGGGATCTGTTGAAAGAGCATTCGACCACGAGTTTGATTTGGTTGGCGACTATTGCAATTGAGTTAGGGTCTAATGTTGAATCTGTGACTGATGCCAAATGCGAAGCCTCCACCTTTTCTTTTTCTTATTCAGCGTGGTGTGAAAATAGTAGACAATATTTCTTTTTTTATTTTACACTTGCAGTCATTTCCTTTCACATAGGGGCCGAACACGCGACATATGCGTGACGGTGGCCAGCGGGAAGCTGATGCTTGTGTCAACACTTTTAAACAAGACTCCCTTCAGTTTTTTTTATGAGCATGAAAGAAGTTCAAATACCTCTTTTGATGTACAGTTTGCTTGTGCACATGTTACCTACATACGTAACTGTAGGCGCATCCACTCTTGTGGGAATGTTTCGAGCGTAGAAGACAGCTTTTTCTATGCAACCCATTCGGTACGCGCAGCCACCCTGGAGTTCCCTGGTTGAAGCGTTGTACCTTTGGCGTGTGGTCTCGACTTATGACGGGGCTGAACACGGGGTCAACCAGGAACCGGAGGGCATCTCCGGTTCTCCTGGATCCACCCTCGTAGGGGAGGTCGTTGATGGCTCTGAGAACCTCCTCCAGTGAGCTGTAGTCGGTCAAAGCGATCGGCATCCTACAAGGAAAAAAAATGCAAAACTGCATCAATTTGAATGAATGTAATGGTTAATAGAAACATTGTTTATCATGTAAATCTTGTAAGGTTTCATGAATAAAGTACCTGTGCATGTGAATACATTTTACAGTACAAAAACACAAATGTTTTGTTTGGGAAATGGTTCGTTTTTCTGCTGTAACAGTCTCCCGTGGTACAGTTTAAAGAGTTGGATGTGACGGCGGATGGCTGAACAGGTCTGTACCTTTTGCAACTCACTGGTATGTTGTGCCTGTGTTTTACCTTGGCACGTCGCCAAAGACAGTGACTCCAAAGCGGACCCCCTCATTGCCCATCACATTATCTTGGAACGAGGAGACGATGGTTGAGACGAAGGCTTTGACCCTGGTGAAGCTGGTCCTCCCCACACTCCACGACTCGTCCACCAGAAAGGCAATGTCCGCTTGCCCCACGGTCCGGCATGCTGAGGGGAGAAGAATGTGATACTCCTCTAACACCAAGGAGGGAGGTGTAGGGCAATGATGACTGTGATCAATCTAAGATAAAAGAAGTGAGTTAGTTATATCTCAAAGTCAATCTTTTTTAGGGTTAAAGGGCGAGGCTGGTAATTACCAAATATTCCTATGCTGACCGCTAGATGGCAGTCTTGTTCCATCATGATAGGATTTTTCCTTTCACTTGCTTCTGTCATGCAGCCAGAGCAGCGCTCAAATCCCCATGAATGTTTAATGGGACACAAGTGAGCCAAAGAGACTATCAATATTCTGAGCACTCCAGCAATAAAACTTTAGTACAGCGAAGAGGAGCGCTTAGAATAATAAGGTAAACACACCCGAAATCAGGGTCAGTCCCCTCGCTCGAGCAAACAAACGCTTTTAACATCAAGATCTGCTGAGTTTGGCAGGATTCAGATGCGTTTTAATGTGTTGTTAAAAAGCCAGAAGCACAGAAAAGGTATTCTAATGCATTGCCTGCACACACCCTGCACATATTCCCACATGGATGTACTGTACTAGGAAACACACACACGCTCTTCACAGAAATCAAGTGTGTGTGCAAGTGCACTGTGCATCAATATTCAGGCATTACATATGCAATAAACCACAGTGACGACAGCATTGATCAGGCTTGTGAATAAGCGATAGGCACTGCCGGTTGTTCTGTAAGTGATAACTCAGCTTCTCTGCGGCCCTCTATTTCATTACAGAGCTTTGCCGCCTCTATTATAACGCCCTTTGGCTGCAATCCCAGGATTCACTGGGGGGGGGGGGACATATGTCTCCAGGCCATGGCGACCTAACATTATGTTCTCCCTCACACACCTATACATCTCTGTGCCACACACCAAGGAAACACAGAACCATTCTGGAGCTTTGTCTGGTGCTCGACTACTATCTCTGGCTACACGAGAGCTTTATTTTCATATATCTAGAATCACCAATGCAGGATTCAACCATGTCTGTCCTCTCCGTCCAAAATTGGCTGCCAACAATCGTTGCACACATATGTGGCATTTGCATGTATTGGGATTTATTTCCTTTCAATATTGTTGAGACTTTGAAGAAGTAACTGGGCGCTGGTCTCTGACAGAGGTGGAAAACGAGATACATTTTGCAGAGGTTGGTCTGTCTGGACAGGCAGGTGAGAACCACGTGGCAAACATAAAGGAGAAATCACATGCTAAGGCAGAGGTCTTCAACAGGGGGTACGCGAAGGTACTGCAGGGGGGTCGCGAAATTTTTGGTTAATAAGACAATTTTTTTAAACAAATTTTTTCCCACAAATGTAAATGTCTTCAGAATCAGATTTTTATTAATGGTCTTTAAATACACATTAACATGAATCCAACATATTAAAGCGAACGGATAAATTGATGGAGAAGACGTTATCTGTCAGTCCGCAACACACACATTCAGCTTCCCTCAGCAGCTCTCAAACTGGGCACCGGTTCACTCACTGCTCCTTTCATGCGAATACGACAGCGCAGGCACCAGCCAATCAGATCGCGTTTATGCTCACGTCTGCAGAGCGTGAAGCTCAAAAATAAAAGATGGCGGACCAAACTCCGTAGAATAGGGGGTCCCTGCTCCACCTCGCCATCTTGCTTGAAAAGACCTCTGTGCTAAGGGATTAGAAACGGTCTTCTTGAAGGTTATCCATTTTTGTATCTCAAAGGTTGTGTTCTCCTATTAGACCATCGATTTACGCCCCAGATGCAGCTCCCTGGATACAGCACAATGCTGCAGACAATTCTACCATGAAAGAGGATGCCCATGAGATAAATATGCACTACTGCAAACCATCAGAGCGCACAACTCAAAGGGCCGTCAGGTTCAGTTTTCTATCCAAACAAATAGATGCAAAAGTGAATCTAAGAAGTTGAGAGAAGAAGGAAATAAGATCAGATAAGCTACAGTGTGCAGGACAGACACTCTAAAGGAAATGTGACAAACGCACCGTTCCTCCAAGACGTGTTTCCAGGGACGTGTACCCGCCGCGCTGGACTGTCAGTCTACTGCTCTCCTCATTGTGCTGTGCATCACATTTTAATTCAATGCAGTCCATTGTGTAGTTTAGAGATTATGGAGAGAACCATTAACCAGCCGGATAAAAAGTATGTTGACACACGAAAGAGAACCCATCGTCACATATCGGAGAATTGTATTTAAAAACGAAGATCAGAGGAGACTGAATATTGGCTTATAGTATAATTCCACGGTGACGGATAATGTTGCTCTGTGACTGCTGAATGTTTAAATACAGTAACAGTTTGCTTAGACAATCACCACAACTTTATAAGGTGATACAAAGCTTAATAGTGCTGCGTAGTGCCGTTTTTAAAACACTGCATATTATCTTGTGAGGTCACTTTAAGTGTCCAGTATATTTACACATATATAGAGAAGACTTATAGAATCATTTATTTGCCGTTGTGTTGATGACAACATGACATTCAATTTGTTGGAGGTAAAAAAAAAGCAATAAAGAGTTCACAATGTTTCCTACATTACACACAGGCATTTAATTAATTATTATTACTGACTAATTACTTACTAAATATTACTTTGAGGCGTCAATCGGCTCATTCATTTGAAACCGACTACATGCCTGTGTGCGTGTGCATGATAAGAAACACTCGGCCCTCAGGGGGATTTGACAATATAAGATATCATGTGAACTAACACTGTCAATAATAAACAATGGGTAAAGTTAAATGGTAACAGCAACCTCAAATATGCCGTTGGATTATTTAAATCCTTCCATAGTTCTGCCCAACAACTTTCCCAATGACTTTCTGCAGACCACATTCCACGTGGTGGAAATCTAACTTTCGATTGGCTGATTGACCTTTTGCCAACATCCAACAGCAGCTGGGGGGCTAAAGTTCTGTATCTAGAAGATGGATTTGACAGGCAGGCAGATATTTCTGTACTGCGGGCTACATGGGGCGAGCAGATGTTCAACAGGCTGGAGAGAAAGTGTAGCTGCTGTAGTGCCGGCCTTTCGTGTGTCGATCCACGTGTGCAGCTTTAATGACGGAGCACTCGCTCGGACCGCGTTCAGTGAGCACGTGCCCTTCCTTCAGCCTGGGCATTCAAGTCATATCATTTATAGGCCTGTGCACGTCTCTGCCAATAAGACCCTTTTGTGTTGACTCCGAATGCAGCGACTGGACGGGCCAATGGTGCTGCAGAGCGGTATGACTTGGTTGCTTTACGAGCATTTGAAAATAAAACAGAGGAGAAACATTTATAGCGAAACTCTGGAATTGGGCTTTTGAGCGTCTCCTTTGGGTTGTAGGATTGTTACGTTACCTTCAGCTTGTGCTGTGACGCTTTGATGAGACAGAGAAAGGGACAGTAGAAAGACCCACACAGAGGAGCGGCCCATGCTCTTCCTCCTTCGATCACCAGCTCCTCCCTGTTCTTCTCTTGGCAAATTCCCTTCTTTAAATTCCACTCCACAATCATCGACTCCAGCTCTTCGCCGTTGTTATCTGAAAGCACACGGATGAATAGAGAGTGGGAAAACATTCGTTGGAGGCGCAAGAAGATAACATGTAATCTGACATTTTTAATTTGCAAAGGACTTGGGTATTTTCGGAAAAGTTATAAAGTCTTTCTTTAATACCACCAGTAACACTGCTAAAATAAATGTACACGGAGGGAAGTCTTAATACTTTGTTTTGACATTCAGACATGCTGATAACAAATAACACTTTACACTTCAGGTCAATAAAACCTTTTTCATAAAACATGGTCATGTGCAACTGATCATTTGCAATTCTTTGGAATTAACCACACTATTAAAGCTTAAATACAATTCTATTCTTTTTAAATAATTATGATTGTGAGCATTTAGGCAAATAAACATCAGGTTAGCAGAATGTTGCAGCCGCTCCCATAATTATGTGTACATTCCCTTCAAACAGTTTTACGGCAGATTCCAGTGACGCCATGAAAACGCCTCTAAAAAGGCATTTAAACTGTTCTCAACCCAAGTGCTAAAACCAGTTATTTAGGAGTTTAACCATTATAAACACACATGCACGTCGAAGTCATTACGCCAATAATAGGTTAGGACTGTTTTAAACGGCCACAGCCCGCATCAGTAAGTTCAAGCGGTGCAGCGGGTTCGAGGGAGCTCTTGTGTGAGTCTACATCTGCAAAACATATTTGTGCTGGTCAGCCAAACCCCTGGATGATGTGCAGTGTGTCTAATTAGTTCCCATCCGCCCCTCTGCTATGTTTTGTGTGACAGCAGAGTGACTTTGTGGTAAAAGCGAACCTTGTCTGCAAGGTAGCAGCGTTATTCTTCTCTATGTAGTGTGTGAGGTGTTAGCATTTTACTTTTTACACGTGGGATGAATGGGGATGGTCTTTGGCAGCATTTCAAAGAAATGACAAGGGTACATTTAGACGGATGGGTCGGCGAAAGCACAGTTGTTCTTCACAGCAATCTGCTGTCGCCAAAAAGAGTGGAGGTCCAGTAGCACTCCGGAATACAGAAAAAACTCTCTTTTCTTTCTTGACAGACAGAGGTGACGTCAGGTGTGCATGAATGATGTTAGCCCTTGTTTTTTTTGGCACGGAATGGATGCAGTCCCATCAAAACGTGGCCACTCCTTCATACCATACGTGCATCTTGGAAGGTGAGATTTAAAAGCAAGAAGCGAGGTACACAGCAATAACGCCGACCTAATGCTCCCGCGTGCTGCTCGATAGACCATCTTACATTTAGAATGTATTGAGTGTTAGATGACTGCTGAGGTACCACAGAAATGTATCATTAGAAAAATATGCTGTTAAATGAGGGTAATCAATAGTAGTGTAATACTAAGTAGAGTAAATCCAACGTTCAAAACGCCCCGTTGAAGGAATTATGCAGCAGTAACGGATTTTCCCATTTGAAATGAACCTCCATCGTAGAGCAACACGTTCAACGCATTAACGGTGATCTCAGAAATATTTTGAGCTGGTGTGGTTTGCATTAGCGGCCTCCCACACGAGTGTGCATGTGTGGCTCCGTGTCTGTGCTTTATGGGCATTCCGTTTAGCGAATTTAGAAACAAACGAATAATATCAAAGAGAAATGTGCCTTCACTAAAGACGAGATGAAAATATTCACACGATCAAGCCAACACATCACACACACATAGCACATCACTTCAAATGTTTCCTCATTAGAGCATGTTTTAACCATGAATGAACATGATAAAGCACTAAAAAATAAATCAGATAAATGTGAAACAATTGAAATTCCATAAAGCTCCTCGGTGCAATTTGACCACCTGTTCCGAGTCTGACAAAACCCGAATGGCTTAAGGGTGACTAGTTTACTACCTCTGCAGATGCAAGTGATAGCTGGCCGGGCTCAAACTCGAATGCATCACAGCCACAAAACTACCCCCCCCCCCCACCCCCCCTCTCACATACCACTGCTGATCTAAGAACTGCCTCAGCATGTATCTTCTTATTAGTGAACCGCAGAGAGGACACGTGCAGAGAGAGGATGAACGTGTGTTCCGGTGAATGACGGCGAGTGCAGAGGCGCACACATTCTCACGGCCGTCCTACAGCGGGAGTTTTAAATAGGTTTGCATGGCGTTCATCAAAGCAGCGGGAAAAAGGCTTAAATGCGATGAGATTATTTAGCGAAAGCTTTCTCCTTTCATGTCATCGTAGGCCGAAGGCGGCAGAGGTTTCTTGAGGCAGATCAGCGGGTCCTGATGTTCAGCAACGTGCAAAAATACGTCAGATAAATGACTTCATCCCAATGATTGTGAAAAGATTCACTGGAGTTAAATCATGTTTTGGGGTAAATGCTAATGTCAGTATGGATGTTGACATTTTGCAGATATAGTGTTTAACATGCTTACTGTCTTAGTTGAGCTTGTTGGCATGTGAACATTTACCAGTTAGCTGTAAGCAGATAGACGGACTGAGAATAATGAGACTTGACAGAACGACCACAATGCTTTTCATATAGTGATGCTGCAAACCTTATCCCGTTCCAGACTCCCCTCAGTATGTCCTCGTTTGTAGTCACAAGCCCAATATATAGTCAGACATTGTGCTTGCAATGATCCCACATCAAAACAAATGTCGCCCAGCACAGCCTCCATCACTCACACCACGCTGGGATCACTAGCACTTTGTCCAGAGTATTGTGAGTCCGAGACCTGCAGTTTATCACTTCCCCCGAGAGCATTAAATGATGTTGCAAAATGAAGTTTCCTGTCCCTGGCCCTGATACTCGCTCTCTGTTCCCGATCTCATTTTCTCTCACGCACTCGCTCACCCTGCAAGTCTAACTCCACGTCAGCTATTTCTACATAATGACATTTTCCACCTCACCACTTCACAGGATGGATTATCCCCCGTAGGTGGGAAAGTGCTAACAGTGAAAAGGTGCACGCACGCACAGCTCAGGACCACAATGTATGATAGCCGATGACTTTGCAGCAGTGAAATTCAGATCACACACACACACACACACACACATGGCATACTGTCTTTATGTCCCTTTGCTCAGCCAAAACAGGCAAGTCTAAGCATGGGAAGTAAGAATCCACAGCTCACTCTACATAGTTTCATCCCCTGACGACGCTCTTACAAACATCCTGGCATTTTCTCGACACTATAGAGCTGACATGAGGGTAAAATGAATAATATCTCCTTTTTATGCCCCATTGCTGTTTGGAGGAGTAACATAGTTGCATTAATGTCTGCAGAGAAGCAGAGTGCACGTGTGCCAAAGACACATCTGAGCCAAGTGCTGTAACTTATCACTTGAAGGTAATTCAGGCAGCAAGAAAATGGGCAAATGACCAACACTGATATCAGACAGTGGTGATGTCTAAGGAGCATCAGTAAAGTCCTTTAGAAAGGGAAAGACACTTTAGAAAGGGCATCTGCACAGTTAGGAATTCAAGACTCTCAGCAAAGCACCATATATATTAAAGTGCAGTTAAAGTTATGGGCTTTGACTTCGGCCCAAAACTGGCCCACGCGATCTCACTTACCAGTGCTGCTAAATGAATCATTGTTATCTCCCCAATCCAGGCGACCTCTTGACAAAGGGGAGCGGGGGAGAAATATCCTCTAAAAATACACCAAAAAAGTTCATCCAAGTCAGGGGGAAAAAAATGATCTGTGATTGATAATCCTGCGACGGTGTTTTCGGAGATTATCGACTGAATTTTACGTGAGAATGATGGTGCATAACTGTGTGTCTGCGTGAAGGAGGAGGTGGGTGTGTCTGAGTGTGTGTAAGAGGGGATGAATGATAGAGACTTGCTTTCCCAGGATCTGTTGTAGCACAGAAAAGTTAGAGAAGAGGGGCGGCTACAGCTGTTACCTGTGGGCTCAGAGAGAGAGAGAGAGACTGAGGCAGAGACAAATAGAGAGAGAGACATGGGGGGGTTACCGATGAGCTTTGACCCACTATTGCTCTAAAGTACATGTGTTTAGTGAATGGAGGCGCAGACACAGGCCGCTAAGCTTTCACCTCAGGGTAAGATAGAAAGCACTTTTAAGTCTGTGATTACCTACAATCATGCAGTAAGTTGAGTTTTCCTTGGGTAAAGAATATGAAAATCCTCCCACAAAATCACTTGGCTACACACATACTAGCAAAGAATAATCCTTGAAAGACCTCTGCAAGAAATATTAATCAAGATCCGACACCTTACCAACGTTTTACTGCCTGTTTCATCTGACTGTTTAACATTTAGCAATAAATACTCATTTTAGTTTTAAAAACTTGGATGTAAACTGCATCCATGCTCTGCCCAAACACAATATCACATTTATCCACACAAGAGATTATGTATTTCTCTGACATTAAATGGGCAAGATCATAAGAGCACCAAACACAGGGAACATCTTGTTGGAGGTCTTGTATTCCTCACATACCTCTATAATAAAGGTACATATACTCACAAATAAACCCAATCAAAACAGCTTGTAGAGCAACAACAGAAAGGAGAAGCAGGGTTTATAAATCTGTCATGTTTTACAAGTGTGTGTGTCGAGGGGCAACGGGTCACCTTCAATGGTGGACTCCAGGAATGTGGTGGCTAGTTTAATTGGGTTTAGCCAGCTGTCAGTCTCGACGAGCCATAACTCAACACACACACACACACACATACACACACACACACACACACAGCCTTAGATGGGGACAACAGTGGATTCTGGTTGAGATACAGATTTAAGATGTAAACATACGCTCACATATCTACACCTATAAATTGAAAAAATTATGATATTGTTATACGTATTATGTTATCTACTTCTCGCGTGGATACAGAATGACAGTGACAAAAGTCTTCACCTCCATTCTTCATAGATAATTACTTGTCTAATGTAGCTACGTGTGTAAAAAAAATATCAAGAAAGCACAAGCACATTTTAATATCCAGAACACACAGACCTAATAAACTGCAACAATTAACCCAGAAGCAAAGCTTGAACTTCTAGCCTTGCCTCAAATACATCTGCTATAAATGGACCAGAAATCCCTCCTCCCCCTGACGAGGCATAGCAGAATACCTCTCACATGTCACACATAGTGAAAGTATTTCAATTCCTAGAAAAACAGTACATGTTTTGAAAACAACACCACTGACTCACGTGTCTTTTCCTAATGTTCGCTCTGACTTCTTTGGGGGTAAAATCGTAGAAAGTGTGGTGGCATATCCTGGTTTGGCCTCAGGGTCGTCTGAGTTGGGCCGCTGCCCCGCCGCTGACCCTCAGCACATGTTCTGTGAAAGTTCAGGAGGGGGCATCAATCAGGACCACTCTCGCTAGAAGGTCAAAGGTGAGTGTCTCTCCCTGCATATCTCCCTCTGTGTAGTACAGTAGTGTCACTGAGGCTCGGTGTGGTCATAAGTCAACAGTGTGGATACTGGTTGCAGCATAGCTGCAGAGGCGTCTTTACCAGATCAAAATCATACGCTGTAAACATTCGCCACCCTCACTCAGTAACATCACGGGTGAAAAAGCCTGACTGTCTTCCAGCAGCAGGTGTGATTAGAGATAAAAAGGTGTTTTGGACGTGTTGGGGGTATTCAGACGGGAAATATTAACAAGCCTTGACTCAGCTAATTGCTCTCCTTCTCCAAACGGGCCCTTAATCCCCCCTAGTCGGGTGCCAGCACAAAAGTGAGGTTTGATTAAATTCATGCTGTAGGCTAAGCACAGCACAATCGATGTGCGTTGGGAGTCAAGAGAAAGAAGAAGAGGGAGGATTAAAACAAAGCAACAAAAGCACAGTGAATTAGCGAACCCATCAGGGGTTGAGAAGGAAGGATGCACGAGGTGGGTTCCTGTGGCTGAGAGGGAGAATGTATGTGTCAATATTTGTGTGTGTTTGGTCCTAGTTAATTGGGGGAAATCTTACTTTCAAAATGCAGCTGGAAAAGAGGCTGACATCTTTTTTTGTGACAGTTCCGTGGAAAAGAAAAAAGCCATATCAATTCCATAACTACTGTGTTACTGCTGAGGCCACTGGTGATGTACGAAATGGAGGTACAAGTGAGTATAATAACGTATTAATATTCTGTTTGGAGAAGCCGGGGTCATTCACCATTCATGCCTCGTGGCAGCTCTTCAAGGAGCTTCTACTTCTAATTTAATGAAATACAGATTTAATGCCTTTCTGAAATCTTCATTTCTCCTCCTTTTTTTGCTCCACTGATTCCATTACAGAGGTTATGAAAATCAAACATTACTTTAGCCGCTGGTTGTAAGCCACTCTGTTAATTGTGCGATTTCTCACATGGCACTTTAATTATGTAAAGTTGAGGCTTTCAGTTTAAAATTGAGAATTGATTATTTCTTTATACAGCATTCCCCATAATCGGTGGGTATATTACAGTAAGATCATGAACTCGAGCTAAAAAACGGAAACGGTAGAGTGTTTTTGTCTGGAATGTATTTGTAACTCCAATCTGAACTTTGACCACCTGCACTTTGGTACGTTTTATAATTAAACTTTCAGAATCGAGACATGTCGCCTGCTGCTGTAGCGTGAAATCAGACCTGGTTGCTAGATTTATCCTGCTGGCATTTCATTTGCTCTGCTGCCTCCTTTTTTGCGTGGCGCTATTACAACTATTGGTAGACTGACAGCATGAGATGTGTGTCGGACCCGTTTGATCGCTCTCATCGGTCTCTGTTTAATGCCGTCAGTGTTGATACATTTGTTGGAGTTTCACAGCGGGAAGACGGGGGCAGTCTGTCTCTGGCCGGAGGCGAACGTAACTGTGATTCTCATCCATAAACCATACGAGCTGGGCAGAGTGCCCACCGCTGCCAAATACAAAAAGCCCTGTGCCGAACCTACTAGCAGTACAAACATAAAATCCCATGCACGCAAACACACACGGACACACACACGCAGTACAGGAACAGGATGAGCCGAGGGGTGCACATGACGGACGCAAACCGAAGTACACAAACACACCTCCCAGCCCTCCTTGTGTACAGACTCTGAGCTCGCCTCACGCTGACAGTTTTTGTCACGGTAAATTCGTTTCATAAACCACGCGACTTCCCGTCTCCGGCTGAGACGCCAGCTGTCATGGCAACGGTAGAAAACAGCGGTTTCAGCGCGAGGGGCTGGTTTGTTGGGACAAGCTGCACCACAGCAAGAGAATGGAGATGCGGCAGAAGGCCGGGCTGGAAGAATTAGTCATGAGCGTGTGTCCAATTACCATCTCTGAAGCCCACAAAAGGACGTCCAAATAATGAACAAAACCAGCTCCCTTCACTTCACAGTAAATCCACTCAACACAAGGAGAAAGCTGCGGATGCACGTGTAGAAATAGGAGTCAATGATCTCGTACAATCAAAGATTTTGCATCCGCAAATGAGATAAAAGCTTTTGTTAATATTTTTCCAAATTTAAAACTATAGTCCGTGCATAACACCAAATTGTACATATTGTATGCTATTAAGACATAATGTATAGACTATAAATATTTGACTGATGACTGCAATGATGGTAATTGCAACCGCATACCTTGTTTAAAACATCATCGGGAAATGAAATGCTAAAGATTATGTAGCAACTGTTTATGCACGTCATGAGCAGCTCGGAGGGATAACAAACACAACCCTATCTATCTCAGGGCTGAGGAGTGTGTGTCTGGCCCGGAGAGACGCTTCACATGCACGAGGGATTGTTAGGAACTAGGCAACCACTGAAGGTCAAAGGGCAGCAGCTGTCCACAATTGCCTTTTGAACCTCCCGGAGACGGCAGAGACACGAACTGAGGGAGACGAGGGAATGAGGTCAAAAGAGGAGATGTGGGACTGAGCAAGTTTTTGGAATTCATCAAAACCGGAGATATGTTTCCGCTTGCACGGCTATGTGTCTGTCACTCAGGAAATGTTGCCATCACCTTCTCAGCTCGCAGCAGAGGAGGAATCTTCCAGAATCGAGTTACATGAGGTCATGCCCAGATTCCAAATACCCCTCTGTGTCTGTGTACAATACTCGGAAGGGATTTGAATCAACTTGTTGAAGCAGTGTCTAAAGAGATTTTGAAGTGTGCGTACGCGATGACACTTTGCCCCGAGGGAGAATTTACTTCATAAATTTATTTTACACGATACATCATTCAGGGCGGCTGCTTGCTGCACTCGACTTACTCCACGGAATACTGAGCCGAATGCAGGTGCTTTTTGTGAAATAATACCCTTTGGTTAACGCATTTGGACAAAACTCCATGAGGGTACATCTGTAGACAGAATTGAAAATGTGTCGAGGTGAATGCTTAACAACCTCGGTGCAACACATCAGGCAGAAGGAGACAGAAAACCTTTTTGTGGTAATTGTTGAACACTGTGTCTGAGTTTTGCATTTATGTTGACGCCGATAAACAGAGTTAAGCATCCAGATTTAGTTCTGTGTATTAGTAATGCAGAGGTTAAATGTATATAATGATCCCTTGGAAAAACACCTGATGTTCATTGAAATCAAAGACGGTTTAGTTATAAAGGTGATCTTCTTGAAGGAGTTTGCTGCAAGACTTGTGATTTGTTTGTTTTTTTCTGCTCTGCTAAACCTAATCCAGCTTTGGTGAGCAGAGCAGAACAGAGTTTAACGGAGTTTGCGGAGTAGGACTGTGAAGGACAGTAGCAGTGTACTCAGGTATGCAGCATAGCCCCATTAGATATGGACATTTTAAGATGACAGTAGCCCAAAATGTAACTTTCCCTGAATGTTACTAACAACGAATCCCATAAAAGAGACCATGAACCCATTGGTTCCTACTGAAGAAAATCATTTGTAAAGGTACAAAGTCCAATTTTAGAGCATTAATGTAGCA